TCTCAAACAAAAAATGTATGGCGCACTTTTTGATTGGTCCAGCGGTTGCTGAGCTACACTCAGATAAATTTTTTAAAAAATTTCGAAAAATTAAATTTGCGAGATAAATGATCGGGAATACCGCCAAAGTCTTAACCCGGGAGTCTCGAACAAAAAATGTATGGCGCACTTTTTGATTGGTCCAGCGGATGCTGAGCTACACTGAGATAAATTTTTTAAAAAATTTTGAAAAATTAAATTTGCGAGATAATTAATCGGGAATACCGGCAAAGTCTTAACCCGGGAGTCTCGAACAAAAAATGTATGGCGCACTTTTTGATTGGTCCAGCGGATGCTGAGCTACACTCAAATCAATTTCGGAAAAAATTTTGAAAAATTTAATTTTCGAGATAATTGCTCCGGAATACCATAACTGTCTTTAGCAAAAAGTAGCGAACAAAAAATGTATGGGGAACTTTTTGATTGGTCCAGCGGATGCTGAGCTATAGTAAAAAACAAATTTGGAAAAATTTTCAAAAAATTAAATTTGCATGATAATCGTCCGGGAATACAGCCATAGTGATTAGAAGAAAGTTCTGAACAAAAAATGTATGGCGCACTTTTTGATTGGTCCAGCGGATGCTGAGCTACACTCAAATCAATTTCGGAAAAAATTTCGAAAAATTAAATTTTCGAGATAATTGCTCCGGAATACCATAGCTGTCTTTAGCAAAAAGTAGCGAACAAAAAATGTATGGGGAACTTTTTGATTGGTCCAGCGGATGCTGAGCTATAGTAAAAAACAAATTTGGAAAAATTTTCAAAAAATTAAATTTGCATGATAATCGTCCGGGAATACAGCCATAGTGATTAGAAGAAAGTTCTGAACAAAAAATGTATGGCGCACTTTTTGATTGGTCCAGCGGATGCTGAGCTACACTTAAATAAAATTCCGAAAAATTTTCGAAAAATTAAATTTTCGAGATAAGCGCTCCGGAATACCACCACAAAAATAGGGAAAAAGTTTCGAACAAAAAATGTATGGCGCACTTTTTGATTGGTCCAGCGGATGCTGAGCTACACTCAAATCAATTTCGGAAAAAATTTTGAAAAATTTAATTTTCGAGATAATTGCTCCGGAATACCATAACTGTCTTTAGCAAAAAGTAGCGAACAAAAAATGTATGGGGAACTTTTTGATTGGTCCAGCGGATGCTGAGCTATAGTAAAAAACAAATTTGGAAAAATTTTCAAAAAATTAAATTTGCATGATAATCGTCCGGGAATACAGCCATAGTGATTAGAAGAAAGTTCTGAACAAAAAATGTATGGCGCACTTTTTGATTGGTCCAGCGGATGCTGAGCTACACTCAAATCAATTTCGGAAAAAATTTCGAAAAATTAAATTTTCGAGATAATCGCTCCGGAATACCATAGCTGTCTTTAGCAAAAAGTAGCGAACAAAAAATGTATGGGGAACTTTTTGATTGGTCCAGCGGATGCTGAGCTATAGTAAAAAACAAATTTGGAAAAATTTTCAAAAAATTAAATTTGCATGATAATCGTCCGGGAATACAGCCATAGTGATTAGAAGAAAGTTCTGAACAAAAAATGTATGGCGCACTTTTTGATTGGTCCAGCGGATGCTGAGGTACACTTAAATAAAATTCCGAAAAATTTTCGAAAAATTAAATTTTCGAGATAAGCGCTCCGGAATACCACCACAAAAATAGGGAAAAAGTTTCGAACAAAAAATGTATGGCGCACTTTTTGATTGGTCCAGCGGATGCTGAGCTACACTCAAATCAATTTCGGAAAAAATTTTGAAAAATTTAATTTTCGAGATAATTGCTCCGGAATACCATAACTGTCTTTAGCAAAAAGTAGCGAACAAAAAATGTATGGGGAACTTTTTGATTGGTCCAGCGGATGCTAAGCTATAGTAAAAAACAAATTTGGAAAAATTTTCAAAAAATTAAATTTGCATGATAATCGTCCGGGAATACAGCCATAGTGATTAGAAGAAAGTTCTGAACAAAAAATGTATGGCGCACTTTTTGATTGGTCCAGCGGATGCTGAGCTACACTTAAATAAAATTCCGAAAAATTTTCGAAAAATTAAATTTTCGAGATAAGCGCTCCGGAATACCACCACAAAAATAGGGAAAAAGTTTCGAACAAAAAATGTATGGCGCACTTTTTGATTGGTCCAGCGGATGCTGAGCTACACTCAAATCAATTTCGGAAAAAATTTTGAAAAATTAAATTTTCGAGATAACTTCTCCGGAATACCACCATTAAAATAGGGAAAAAGTTTCGATCAAAAAATGTATGGCGCACTTTTTGATTGGTCCAGCGGATGCTGAGCTACACTCAAATAAATTTCCGAAAAATTTTCGAAAAATTAAATTTTCGAGATAAGCGCTCCGGAATACCACCACAAAAATAGGGAAAAAGTTTCGAACAAAAAATGTATGGCGCACTTTTTTATTGGTCCAGCGGATGCTGAGCTACACTCAAATCAATTTCGGAAAAAATTTTGAAAAATTTAATTTTCGAGATAATTGCTCCGGAATACCATAACTGTCTTTAGCAAAAAGTGGCGAACAAAAAATGTATGGCGCTCTTTTTGATTGGTCCAGCGGATGCTGAGCTACACTCAAATCAATTTCGGAAAAAATTTTGAAAAATTAAATTTTCGAGATAATCGCTCCGGAATACCATAGCTGTCTTTAGCAAAAAGTAGCGAACACAAAATGTATGGGGCACTTTTTGATTGGTCCAGCGGATGCTGAGCTACAGTAAAAAACAAATTTGGAAAAAATTACAAAAAATTAAATTTTCGAGATTATCGGTCGGGAATACCACCAATAAAATAGTCAAAAAGTTCTTTAGCAAAAAGTAGCGAACAAAAAATGTATGGCGCACTTTTTGATTCGACCAAGGGATGCTGCACTTGATAAAAATAAATTTTGGGATGTTTTGAAATCTTTCTCTAATTCCTCAATATAAATTTGTTTCATTTTTAAATTATATAATAATACTTTTATTTTAGGACAAATAATAAATAAATATATGATATTTATACAATGTATGTCATTAACATGTGTTCTTTAATCTTATAATTGTTAGTCATATATAAAATATTGATAATATTATATTAACGCGTTAAATATTGAGTTTAATTATATGTCGCTGGTATTAAATTATTGAATCGTTTCTTTATAAAAGAGAGAGAGACATTTTAATAAAATACATTCGTAAGGTGAATTAGGACCTCTCTTAAAATTACCAGTTGAGGCATTCGAATCCGGGATAATTCACAGAATGTAATTGGGTCAATTGCACTTAAATCCCCATGGGTCAAATATATACTCTCGTCTTTTTGATGTCTGCCGGGTTTACGCTTCGATTTCCAATTTAAAAATAAATTTTTTTCCTAAGGCTCTGAAATTAAGTTAAAAATTAAAAGTTAAAAAAAATAATAATTTTTTTTTCTGTAGAGAGAAATATTCTGTTTGCTGAGTCAATAATTAAATTTTAACTAATACTATACATGTTTGTAGAACAAATGTATGTATGGTGAACTGATTAACCGCTTTAACTAATAAATTTATGGTGTAAAAGTTTCTTTATTGTATACAGATACGTTAACTAAAGGGTCTTAGGCATGACTGTTGAAACAAGGATTTGACCGTTACATATAGGAACGCAAACGAGAATTCAAAAACCCATGCATTTCGTTCAGGTTTATACCTTCTCTTATCCCCTGCTTGCCAGATGACACAGTGCACATATAACCATACACCATCGTCCTCTGCCCACTCACGTGCGTGCAAAAAAAAAACACACACACACACCATCATATATAAAAAAAAAAAAATATATATATATATATATCTGTGGCGTGTGTCCGACGCGTGCCTTCAAAATCGTCCTTCCGGTGAATCGACCCATTGCTGCTTCCGGGATTTCCCATAATAAGTGATCTACTCGCGCGATAACGCGACCTTTCAAAGGTCGAATGAGCGGTGATTTCGAATTGCGTGCGGTTTTTCAGGTATGAACCATTTTTGTTCGAATTGCGTCCCGAGCCGTCCCTCCCTATGTTTGAATTGCGTGCCGTTTGCTGTGTTTGAATTGCGTGCCGTTCCCTCCAAAATCACCTTCGTATAGGCATATAAGCTAAGAAAAATTTCATGAAAGATTGAAGTATTTCTACTTTTATGTTAAACATTTGATAAATATTTTTAAATTTTTTTTCTTAATATTATAATATTTAATATTTAATATTAATATTACAATATTATTATAATTCTGTATTATATAATACATATTACACGTGCTTCATGCTCCCCACTTTTCCCTTTAAGAAATTTTCTTACGTTTAAAACCGATAATATATTATTATTATTATTGTTCGTTGTGAATACTGCTGCCAGTCCTAAGCCTGGATAAGACTAACGCAAAATAACCTCGCAAAATGTAAATTAAGAATCTATTTTGCGTTGGTCTGTAGAGTGCGAAGGGAAATGTGTAACCTAAAATGATATATATATAGAACAACGACCACCGCACGCAATTCGACTACATTAGGGTTACCCTTGGCACGCAATTCAAACTATACCTGCCATCCCTTGGGACGCAATTCAACCAAGCGCACGCAATTCGATATCAGCCCGAATGAGTAAGCGACTTTTTTTCATCATAACGACTTTCTTTTCAAAAACGAATCTCCCAAATAAAATTATTATTTTAGAGAGTGAGTTGCGAAAAAGAAATAACTTGATTAGTGAGAATATATATAACGGGGCGAAATGGTGCACACTTAAAATTTTTGTTTTTCAAAAAAAAAAAAATTAATTTTACTTTTAGTATTTTAGCATTTTTTTTTATTTAAAAATATACTTTTTTTAAGAATATTATATATTCCGTGTAGAAATTGCAAATATTTTTATTCTTGAATAAGAATAAAATAATTTAATACTTCGGTTTAAAAAAATATTTTTTTTTTCTTTCAGAGTCATCGAAAAATGGGAACGTTTCGCAGATTATTTTTAGCAGTTAAGGACATGAAGAGAAAGAGGTGAATGATAAAATTATATTTAAAAATAATATTTATTTATTTAACAATAGAAGTTCCTAGGGCTACACAATATGAAAATGTATTTTCAATATTAGAGGATTTTAATTTTTTTTTAAATTATTTTTTATGAAATGTAAAAAAATTACCACATGGCAGAGGTTTCTTTAAATTTAATTATTATCTATAAATAACAGAAACTAACAGACATATATACATATAATTAGCGCAGTAGCTCAAAATATTCTTTTTTAAAAAAAGTGTCATTTTCATTCATTCATTCATTCAAAAAAAAAAAGAAGCTTATGGTTCTACAAATTGCTACCTTTACGGGAAAAATTAAAAGGTCTAACATTTTAAAAAATATGGATGTTTATTTTTTCGGTCCTGTGGGCGCGCGCGGAAGGAAGTGTACCAATTTAGTTTTGGGCCTTTTTTTTAATGATGTGTCCTTGAAACTAAAACAGCTGGCAGGTATATGCACCTGAAAAAGGAAAAGTCCTTCTTTGCGTTGAATTCTTTTTTTGCCCGGCATGTACCTATTTTCTTTCCACCTCTCCCTTGTCTTTTTTTGTTTTTAATTTACACTTTTGTTTTTCATTTTCTTTTTGTCTTTACTTTTCTTTTGTTTTTCATTGTTTTAAATTTTTTTTCTCTTTTTTGTATATATATATATATCAAGAACGCAGTAACCTTGACAGACTCTGTGACGAACACGCGTCGGTCGCGCGCGTTTCAAAAAGGGGATCGTCCTTATAAGTATTCGTGTTCTCCCTTTTTATTTAACTCTTTTCGTTTCCTTATCTTTTTTCTTTTTATAAGCCGGCTTTCCTCTCTCGAAATTCTGGAGTACTCAAGTGGGGACAAGATTCTTGAAGATTATCGAGAATCCCAACTATTTCACCGACTGTACGGGACTCAATGCCGGTTTTTTTTTTGTTTTTAATTTTTTCTCTCTCCGTCTCTCTTATTGTCCTATAGACGCGCACTAGTGGCACATTCAGAGGAGACAACAGTAGTCAGTACTATACTAACACACATATACACACAACCGGATCACCTGACACGCATTAATTCAAGCAAACCATAAGGAAAAACATGCAACGGTCCCCCTTGTAATTGTGGCGTTTAATAAAGAAATGACACGAGATATTCGGGCCACACAATATACGCGTGTGCCGAATGCGAAACGATTGCAACGAGAGTGGCATATAACCAAAGAAAAGTATTATGGTTATATACTTCTTTTGCAGCCAAAAGTATAAATACAGAGAGCGAGACATTAGTGCGCGCGCCTTTCACTCTAGATCACAAAAAAAAAAAAAAAAAAAAAAATGTCGAGAATATTGTCCATTTTATAATACTTTCTTTACCCATTTTCGGGATTTTTCGAAAACTGCTTTTTTTGCCTCTCTCTCTCTCATTCTAATTTAATTCGATTAATTATTTTACAAGGTCCGGCTTTAAGCACCTGGCAGTTGTGCAAAATAAAAACTCTCTGATAATGATTTTCAGATGAAATATTAATTCCTTATATAGATTATAATAATTTTTAATAAATATATTTTTTAAAAAATTTATTTGATTCAAATAATTGATTACTTGACTATTATCAAATAAATATTTACTTGTATCAAATAATTATTATTTGAGTCAATTAAATATAGTATATTTGTTACAAATACAGAAATAATTGGTTCAAATACAGTTTATTTAATTCAAAAAATAAAAATTATTTGGTTTAAGTAAATATTTAATTGATAGTCAAGTAATCGAGTATTTGAATTAAATAAATTTTTTTTCAGTGTAGAAAATTGGCACAGAAAAAACGCTGGATAAATTTTGTTGCGGGTATAATTTTAACTAATGCTAATTCACATAGACGGTGCCGGCCCCAACTAGGATAAAATTTGTTGCAGTTAATTTTTATACCGATTTTGGGGTAAAAATTCTACTTTTTTTTTAGTGTTGGGTTAATAAAAATTCTATTAAATTAAAATTCTAACCCCTCACAGTACCAGATATCCTAGGATATTCCAAAAACATCCCTTGGATATCTTAGGGATACCCCAGGGAGATCCTAAGGATACTTTAAGGATATCCAAAGTAGCGGCGGTTAGGATATCCCAGGGATATCTAAGGATGTCCCTAGGACGTCCCAGGGATATTCTTATCATTTCCCCGGATATTATTAGGATATCCTGTGGATATCCTTAAAACGTCCCAAGGATATCCCTGGAATTATTAGGGATGTCCTTCGGACGTCCTAAGGATATCCACAGTATGTCTATATTATCTTAAGGGTCAGAATATCCTTGAGTCGTTCTAAAAATGTCCCTAAGGTATCCATTAAACGACCCTAACATACAAATTAATTAAATAAAGATGGAAAACATATTTTTTGGATGTATTTATAATGTATTTCCAAGATATCTAAAATGTACATTCGGTGCGTGTGTTAGAACAAAAATTTTTCATTCGGTCAGTCCCATAAAAAATCTTAGCGATATTTTTAGAATATTTTAACGATATACCAAGTTTATCCCAAGAATATCCCCACGATATCACTAGGACATCCCTGGAATATCCTAAGTATATCCCCAGAATATCCCAAAAATATCCTACGTAACGGCGGTTTGGATGTTCTGAGGATATCCTCAGGATATCCTACATTAGTTTAGGATATCCTGAGGATATTCTCAGGATATCCTTTTGTTGTGAGGGGTACAATTTTTAAAATTTATTCATTTCTATTTGATAATGAGACATATAATATATTTTGTCTGGTAGTAAAAAATAATATATATTATTTTTTACACTATAAAATAACAATAGAAATATATCTGACTAATAAATTATTATCTATTAGTAGATTAACTGTAAGTAGATCAATTCCGTCACGGTCAGACAATTTGTTTCAAAAGGGAATAGATTCTCACATATATATATACAGTCATTTGAGTTCGATACCCTCGGAAATAGTTCTCTTTTTTCTGTTTATTTGTTGGTGGAATCTACTTTAGAGCTGAGTGTGTATTAAGCAGTGCAACTGTGTTTTTTTTTTTTTTTATTATTCAAAGTCTGGCGAGCAATCACCACTATGCCATCGGGTGTGCTTGGTGGAATGAGAGAGAGAGAGGATCCAAAAAGGTGCCGTTGGTCCGCCAATCGTTAGGCGAGAACACCTGGTTTTATATATGTATACTATAGAGAGAGAGAGAAAAGAGGAGGGAGGGGCACGCGATGCGTGTATGGTGGTCGTACATCCCCTACGGGGTGATTAAATGAAGCACCACGATTCATAAGGGAGACCATGCGTAAAACTGTTGCGCCCCCGTTGAGCTCCGTTTCATTTTGAAACTTTAGACAAAGGGATCATTTCGTTGGACAATCAAGAAGTCAACCGTTCACATCCACTTTTATGCAAAAAAAAAAATGATATTCCTTACCTATATAAAATGTTCATATTTAAAAAAAAAATATACACGGTGGGAAATATAAATATTTACAGTAAAATCACAATCTTTTATATACTTTTTTTTTTTTATTTGTATTGGAAATTTCACCCGCTGGGTGAAAAAGAGGCCATCGAGTTAAAAAGTTATCATTTTATCCCCTAGAGTAAAAATGTAATTTTAAAAAAATAATTTTTTAATAAAAATCAAATCTGAATAATATATATATTCAAAAAATTTTTTGCGATAATTTAAATTTTGTCTCTTAAAGAAATATATATATATATATATAATGGTTGTCATAAAAATTTGTCTCATTTTTCATGCATTTGGTGTGTAATATGTTTATTTTATGAAAGGATATATACCATTGAGCGAAAATTAACGAATAAAAATGTTGACAAGAATTTATTTTTCGTGAAATTTGCGAATTAAGCGGTACTCGAGGTTGTCAGTGGTGGTAGATTTAAATTTATTTTTTTTTCTTTCTTTATACTTTCTTTGCTTCGTCTTAATCGACGGTCTCTGAAAAACAGTGTGCGGGCGTAATATAGGCAAAAGCGACGGTTGAGATACCAGCAGGCAGCTGCATTAATATATCTTCTTACCGTGTGCCAAAAAGTATATATATATATGTTCAAGTACCTATATATCTTGAATGTGACGAAATGACTAAAGAAGAGGTCTCTCGATAATTTCTTTCTAGAAATCTCAGAGCCAAATAAATATTTACATATATGTTTCAAATAAATTTTATTTGTCTCAATAATAGACGCCAATAAAATATTTGTTAAAAAATTATAAATTCATATATTATAGGAAAGAATAAAAATCTCCTTTTTGTTAAAACATGGGTAAAAATCGCAGGTATACAAAATATAGGGAAAACATAATATATTTTATATATATATAAATATATTCTTGAGTATAAGTCACAAGAGGGTGAATTAAGGAGTTAATATTGAAAAAGGGAAGAAATAATAGAGAGGGTAACTTTTATTGATGAAAAATATTACTTTGTGTCCTATTTTCTCCCTCATTTTCAAACTAACCACTCAAGTGGAATTGATATTTCTCATCTCTCACATATTTGTAGCGTGTGTGTTATTCAACAATCTTACCCCGAGGGATTGAAAGTTAGTGTTAGATTTCATTGAAAAGTGATTTAACCTTAATATATAACTAGGACAATTTTACCTTTATAAGGATTCATTATATTTTCATTTTCTATATAGTATCAATTTTCCTCTATATTGATGTTATATTTTAATTTATTAACAGTAAATTGACAAATTTCACTAATTCCATGTTTTTCTATTCTCATAAGTATAACACTTATAGGGAAAAGTACCTCTTTTTTGGATTAACAAAATTGTTTAGTTTAAGTTAGTTTAGTAGTGCACTCGTCCCTATACGAATAAGAAGGATATACGGTTCGTCGGAAGGCGGGAAAAGTCGTTAGAAACTTGAGTACCACTACTTACAAGTAGTCAAGCGCTTTGAGAGGGCGTGTTGAACTGTGTAAGAGTGAAATGAGGGAAAGGGAGTAGAAGCGAGAGAGAAAAAGAGAGAGAAAGACGGAGAGAGAGTGTGAGTATTGAGAGAAAATGAGACCAAAGAAGGGAGAGAGAGAGAGAGGAAAGATGCGCGCGTGTTCTCTCAGAGAGCCTGGCGCGTGCCGGCGCGTGCCCCAAGCTTCGTTCTCTTTCCATTGGCGTACCTTTTTCTTTCATCATTATCATTAACAAAAATTAAAAGAAAGAAAAAAATGATCTGTTTCAAAATACGAAAAATAGACAGTTGTTTGCTATTTTTTTTCTCATTCATTTTTATTTTTTAATTAAAAAATCTTTTTAGATTTAAAAATATATAAAAATTTACCTTAAAAAAAATTGTTTCGTTTTAACAAATACAGTGAAACTCGAGTTAGTGAGACAAGCGCGTACATGTCTCACTATCACGAATTTGAGTGTATTACCGCAATATTTTTTTTCTTAACAGTTTAAAAGAAATAATTTTTTTTTAATAATTATATGTAAATTGCAGATAAATAAATTAAAAATTAAATTCATAAAAAATTTAATAAAATAAAAAATTGTATTCAAAAAACCTTGGAAAGAGTATACGCCAGTGAAGGATATTACTAATGGTGGAAGATATAGGGAAATCAAGAATGTATATATACGTTCCGGTTTAATGTATCCTCGCTTCTTCAGCAGCAACGGTAGTGCGTGCCTGGTAGAATATATATATAGTATATATAGGGTTGAGAGAATTCACGCGACTCTATTTGCAATCGAAAGAGAGAAAAAAAAGAAACAAAAAGGGTAGAGAAAAATAAAGAAGACGCGCGGCAAAAACAACAACTCCATATAGCTATATCACTACTTCGCGAAAAAGAAATAATATATCATTTAATCTTTCCACTTTCTCAAAATGACAAATATAATAGTAGGTATTAAAATTGCTAACTTTTTTTTTCTTCTCTTTTTTTTGCTTACAGTTAATAATTTTTTTCTGCACGCGAATACACATTAATAAATGTATTTCTTGGGGCCAAATTCGAATTCGAGAAACAGAAGATGAATGGAGAACACCCAAAAAAAGTCACATGAAAAACAAATAATGCGTATAAATAATTTCTCTCTCTCTCTTTTCCAGGGTTCGTAAAAAATTATTTTATAGTCTCGATTCCTTTGTTTATTACAAATATTACATTCGTAATTCTCAATCATAGGGAGTGAAATGATCTTTTCTAAATCTAGTGAGTAAAATTACCTTTTCTAATTCTAGGGAATAAAATTGCCTTTTTAGATCCTAAGGTGTAAAATTATTTTTCTTATCCTAGCTTCTAAAAATTCTTTCTAAGATAAAAATGTCAAAAAATAAAGAATTAATAATTTTCTTTTCTTTTTTTTACTTAATATATACATATGTGATTGTAGGTGTGTGTGATTACTCGCATAGATCGAACCTGAAATAACGCATATTTTACAACTAAAGTCACAAACGGTTATTCTTTTTTTTTTTACCTGTCCGCGAAACTCCTATTTAAATTTGTAATTTTTTAATTCCCAATAGGATCTTAAAACAGGGGGCTTTGACCATCCTCTATGGTAGCCACCTGCGCGCTCCTCATTCGCCACTAAGATTAAGTGCTTTTAGTTTCCTTTTAAGGTGCGTCAGCCTCTAATAGTCGTATATATATACATTTTTCGTCAAGAATAAAATGTTCTTTTACGATTTATTGTTTTTTTCTTTCAATAAATTTTCAAAATTCTTCTCTCTATCAAAAATTTTTGTTGAAAAATTAAGTAATGTAGAATATAGATCGTTATATCGATTATAGATCATTATTTCGATTATAGATCTATATATCGAAAATACATGCAATGTATCGTAAATCGAACAATCTAGAAATATAGAATATCTATCGATATATCGATTATCGATTGAAATACAGAATATAGATGATTATATCGATTATCACGATCCTTCGACAAATTAACATAATTATCACATTAAGAAATTCGCGAGTGTTGAGCAATCTCTTTTTTTGGAAATATATATAAATAAAACAGGTGCTTCTACAATATAATTACACAGTAAATTTATAATGAATATATACACTTGTCATATTAATTAGTTTAAAAACTGTTTAACCTGGTTTAGTGGGATTTCTTTTTTATATATATATGTATCAATTATATTTTAAATTAAAAATTTCATGTGAATCTGTCGTGAAAATAAAATATGATCGTAACATTAAAAATGTATATTATGTATAAGCGCGTAAAACAAGTGGCCTGTCCTGACGATCTTGAATCGCGTTTGCAAGCGCAGGCTTCATTATAAATGTAGAATATATATATGTAAGTGCGATCTGCAAATTTCCATTCGACACGGTGTCAGTTTTTCATATTGATCTGTCTGCTTATGTAATTAAGTGAGCTCTTTAATTGCCTCTTGATTGGCGTGTGTGTGCATTACTCTTATGCTATTGAATTAAAATTTTATACATATATACACCTGCTCACCCATATATGATTTTAATCTTACTTAAGACACAATTTTTTATAAATAAAGACCAGTCACAATATATTCTTATGCTTCTGTTATTATATATATATATATATATATATATATAACAAATTCATTTGTCAATTCGTTAGTCTTTCAAAGGAATTTACATTTTCTTTTAATTAAAGAATAAGTTTTTGTTTTTGTTTTTTATATATGTGAGATATATTATTATTATTATTGAAAAAAAGGAATAAAATAAAAATGTAAAAAAATTACCGACACAGGAATCTACCTTACCGACTGAAGGTAAAACAGATTTTTTTAAAAATGAAAATATAAAAATAACCAACAAAGGAATCTACCTTACTGACTGACGGTAAAACAGATTTTATGAAAAATGATAATATAAAAAATTACCGACACAGGAATCTACCTTACCGACTGATGGTAAAACAGATTTTTTGAAAAATGAAAATATAAAAAATTACCGACACAGGAATCTACCTTACCGACTGATGGTAAAGCAGATTTTTTGAAAAATGAAAATATAAAAAATTACCGACACAGGAATCTACCTTACCGACTGATGGTAAAACAGATTTTTTGAAAAATGAAAATATAAAAATTACCGACACAGGAATCTACCTTACCGACTGATGGTAAAGCAGATTTTTTGAAAAATGAAAATATAAAAAATTACCGACACAGGAATCTACCTTACCGACTGATGGTAAAACAGATTTTTAAAAAAATGAAAAAATAAAAATTACCGACACAGGGATCTACCTTACCGACTGATGGTAAAACAGATTTCGGTGTCGGTAATTTTTATTTTTTATTTTTTTAAAAATCTGTTTTACCATCAGTCGGTAAGGTAGATTCCTGTGTCGGTAATTTTTTATATTTTCATTTTTCAAAAAATCTGTTTTACCATCAGTCGGTAAGGTAGATTCCTGTGTCGGTAATTTTTTATATTTGCATTTTTCAAAAATCTGCTTTACCATCAGTCGGTAAGGTAGATTACTGTGTCGGTAATTTTTTATATTTTCATTTTTCAAAAAATCTGTTTTACCATCAGTCGGTAAGGTAGATTTCTGTGTCGGTAATTTTTTATATTTTCATTTTCCAAAAATCTGCTTTACCATCAGTCGGTAAGGTAGATTCCTGTGTCGGTAATTTTTTATATTTTCATTTTTCAAAAAATCTGTTTTACCATCAGTCGGTAAGGTAGATTCCTGTGTCGGTAATTTTTTATATTTTCATTTTTCAAAAATCTGCTTTACCATCAGTCGGTAAGGTAGATTCCTGTGTCGGTAATTTTTATATTATCATTTTTCATAAAATCTGTTTTACCGTCAGTCGGTAAGGTAGATTCCTTTGTTGGTTATTTTTATATTTTCATTTTTCAAAAAATCTGTTTTACCATCAGTCGGTAAGGTAGATTTCTGTGTCGGTAATTTTTTATATTTTCATTTTCCAAAAATCTGCTTTACCATCAGTCGGTAAGGTAGATTCCTGTGTCGGTAATTTTTTATATTTTCATTTTTCAAAAAATCTGTTTTACCATCAGTCGGTAAGGTAGATTCCTGTGTCGGTAATTTTTTATATTTTCATTTTTCAAAAATCTGCTTTACCATCAGTCGGTAAGGTAGATTCCTGTGTCGGTAATTTTTATATTATCATTTTTCATAAAATCTGTTTTACCGTCAGTCGGTAAGGTAGATTCCTTTGTTGGTTATTTTTATATTTTCATTTTTTAAAAAATCTGTTTTACCATCAGTCGGTAAAGTAGATTTCTATGTGGGTAATTTTTTATTGTTTTCAAAAAATCTGTTTTTAAAGTAAAACAATGGTTTCGAATTTATGTAATTAGTTGAGCGCTAGTCAGTAAGTCTGACGAGGACCACGCTAGAGATAGGGGAAACTAGATAGTACCCTATCAAGCCCAAGTTTTAATGTTTGCACTAGAAATATTTTTTTTTTTATCTGAAATTAGGAAAACTGGCCAAGTCCCTGTTAAAGCCCAACTTGGGGCGAATTCGTGCAATTTTTTCATGGGATATTTTCAACTTTCTTATGTTTCACACATTTTAATTAATAATTTTATCAAAAATTAAAATTTTATTAAATAATTATTTAATTTTATTGTTTAACGAAAATAATAATATTGTTTAATATAAAGGAAGAAAATTACAAAAAATAATTTAACATATTTTTTTCAGGGATATATTGACAAAGGGCATATATACAAATGTTGAAAAAAAGAGGAGCGCCTCAGGCGTGAAAAGAGTTGAATTCAATAATCTGGAGCAATTTTAATGTCAGGGCAGAAAGTGGAACTCGGAATTTTGGTCATAATTGCGAAATTTCCCGTCTGATGAAACATCGTCCCCGCAAAAAGGGACAAAAGATTAAAGGATATACGTAAATACTTTATAAGTATACACACATATATATCTGTTAAAGGCTCGCGTGTTCCTCTTGCCAGTGGGTCGAGGTTTCGAGAACGCGAGAGATTTCGCACATCCTCCCGTTTTGAATGGCGCGAAAGTTATGAATCCCTTTTCATCGCTCATTCATGGTTCCGGTCTCGATATAAAATTCAAAAAAAAAAAAAAAAAAATGTAAAATAGCGGCAAACATCGCCCACAAAACCGTTTTCCTTTCCCGTTGCGCCTTTTAATGCCGTTACACACCCTCTTCCTTCCGAATAATTTTTTATTCCCTACATACGTTATTTATTCTTTGTTCCGTAAAGATCTTAAACTGCTTACGTTTATCCTTAACCGCATATTTTTTAACCATCAATTTTTTTTCTCTCTCTTTCTCTCAAATATCGATTGAAAATGTGTATAAAAATGGAAAAAAGGGATATATACATATATATATATATATATAGAAGGAAGATTTATGCGGTTATTTTTATTGGGTCAAGTATATTTTCAATGCGCACGTAACATTGGTAAAAGAATATATGACCTACTTTTTGTAATATACACGTTTTGTTTAAAAAAAATCGAAAATAAAAATTTATTTCAATAAATAAATTTTTTTTAACAATTAATTAGAAAAATAATTTACTCAAAAGTAATTGCAATTTTTTTTCATATATTTTTGAATATTATTAATATTAATATAATTAAATATTAAAAAATTAAATTTTGAATATTATTCGTCTACTAAGAAAATAATAAAAAATGAATTTTATCTTTTCAATTCCTTTTATAATTATATATTCTTTTCTTGAGAATATTTTTCTATATAAAAAAAAGAGGATTTTTCTTTTCAATTCGAAAGATTGTTTAAAGACATTTTCCTTTCGTGTTAATATATTATAATCACATATATATTCATTTGGAATCCTTTCATTCTATAATTATATCTTGAATTTTAATTGTAAATATTATTAATATATTCATGTTTAAAGTCAAATATATTTTTTTTCTTTTTTAGTTTTTTTTTTATTTTTTTGAAAAACTTTGAAAACCTCAACCAAATCGTCTCTAAAGTTATCATTATACATTCCCATATAACAATAGTCTTCGTTTTTTTTTTCTACTTGCATTCGCGCATATAATTATGAGTACATAACATTTGAATTCGATTCTAGCCACATAAATGCAGTTCCTTCTATATATATGTATTGTATATATAAAAGGTATATCATTCACTAGATATTACAATAGAGTCAATTACCATTGCAATGCAACGACGCTGTAAGGAAAACTTGGTATAACAGATGTGCTTATAATATAAGTGGAAGATGCTTTTCTTGATATGTCATTTTTTTCCACATTTTTTTTTATTTCAAATAATTTATTCCTTATGATCCGATGAGGTTATAAATATATATATATACCTGTACGTAATATCAATATTTAGCCTCATTAGTTATACATAGACATGGAAAAGTAAATATCATACGTATATGTGTTGATGATAAAATAGTGTTGGAAGCTCGCGGTGATTATGCAAGCTTCGTCGGTTATCAGAGCGTACATGGAAACCTATTGTTATCGCACGAGTCTCCTTATAGAATTGCCGTTACGTATAATTTAACTAAATGAGTCAGGTAAACACGAACTGTATATCTTGAAAAAAAAATTATTGTCATGGATTTGAAAAATCGTGACTAATGATGCGCGCAAATAAAAAAAAAAAAAAAAAAGTTTATACATGTATTTCTCTCAACATGTACTTTGTGGTTATCTTTTTTTTTTTTTTTTTATCACTAACACCAAAGTTTTTCCTTCTTTACTGTAGTACTTTAAAAAATGCTGCTTAATTTTTAGTGATCTTAAAAATTATTAAATGCTATTATAATTAGGATTTTGAAAAAAAATTTAATATTAAATTATACATTTTGCTCCAAGTAATTGAATAAAGATCAATTTAATACACTCAAACCTGTTTTACCAATCGTAGATAAATCAGTTTTGATCATTTTTTTAGTAATATTGCTTTTTTTTGTTAATAAAATAGAAAATTAAGAGTTTATATAAAAATTATTTAATTAATTAAATATGTCAAGTTGTTTCAAAAAAAAAAAAAAATTGTATTTTAGTAACGAAGCTATACATAATGAGACACACACTGATAAGATATTTTAAATACAACCATGTTTTTAAAAAAAAGTAGAAAATATTACGATTTTGTATATCAACCATGTTTTATTAAAATTTATAATATATTATAATTTTGTGTCAATGTCAGTGTCATTGAAAAATGTCTAAATTTCTTATTTAACTTTTCTCAACAAAATTATATAATAATAGTAATTAATAATTTCGGAGATAAATAAATAAAATATTTTAATAATGAAATTTAATCATTTTTAATAAACAAATAGTTCTCAATTGAAATTAATATTTATGCAAACTAAATTAGCTTTTGTTGAAAATTTTTCACTGCAACAACTAATTTAAATTTACATAGCAGGTGAATCTTTTTTTTTTCTTTTAACATTTAAATTAAATGGAAATTTAATAATTATTTAAACAAAAATAAAATAAATATCATAAGTTTCCTTTACATATGAAACTGATTTTTTTTTTAAATTAACAATTCAAAATTTTTCTGATTGTGAAAATTTAAAACAAATTTAAGATCACGAATTATAATCAGTATATGTATGCATAGAAAAAAAATTTATTTAAATCAAATAAAAATTATTTGGTTTAAGTAAATATTTATTTGATAATAGTCAAGTAACGAATTATTTGAATCAAATGGATTTTTTTTCAGTATAGGTATACTTATGGTACGAATGCGTTCAAAATGAAAAAAAAACTTGACTCTTGGTGAACCAATTTGAAAGAATATAATCGTTGATTAAAAATGCTTTCGGCAAATTTATGTCCCAATTTTTAAGCTCTGTGTTTATAAAGGTATAAATTCGACTGATGCATAACGCGATACATTTTGGTATTTCGTTTAAATATTGCTTGTTCGTTTCAAGGTCAAGTAAAAAAAGGATCGCGTGCCAATATATAAATTATAGATAAGTAAAAATTTTTTTTTGCGATAGTGAAAAGAAAACAATCACAAAAAAAATTATTTATATTGACAATTTTTATAAAATTATTTTTGAAAAATTTTATTCTACTTTGACTATAGAAAAAAAGATGTTAAATAAAATATTTATTCTTTAATATATTATTAAAATATATTATTATTAAGACAAGAAATATTGTTAATTTACACCCTAAAAAAAGTAATTTTCAATCTAGAGGATTCCTCTAAAATAAATGCATATTTTCCTCTTAATTTTGGTATCAAAATTATTATTCTTCATTTAAGAGGATTTTCCTCTTAAATTAAATGTCGACATCCAAACCTCGTAAAATTGTTTTTAATGTCAAAGCCATCAATAAAATATTTATAATTTCCAATCAAATAATAAAATCTTTGCAGAAAATACATTTTTAAATTAAAATTAAGTAAAATTATAATAGTTCATTTCAATATAATAATAAAAATTGTTTTTTAATATAACATTAACAATGTCATGTTTTTGGTTAATTATCAACATTTTATATTGATAATTAAAATACAAAAAATAAGTTTTCATTAATCAGTTGTAATGATCAACGAGATTTATAGCGCAAAAATAATTTTAAAACATGATGATATGTTTAAAAGTTAACATTTTTTATAGGAAATTTCATATATGAAATTATTTAACGTTTTAAAACTTTTTTAAAAAAGTAAAAAAAAGATTTAAAAAATTCGAAAGATTCAAAAATGGGGTTATAGTATTTCTATTTACCTGAGTAGTAAAATTTCACAAGAAATATCCAAATTTTTTTAAATCTAAAAATAGCGTTAAAAATATTTATTTAATTTGAATTTAACTATATTTTCTGTATTTTTAATAAAGCAAATCCATTTTTTTGTCCTTTTTGTTGCCATTTTACCAGAAATATTAAAACTGAAAGGTTAAAAAACAACTTCACAACTATCATACCCAGGGAAAGGGATCAAACGATTACATTATTTTTTTCCGTTTCCTTTTTTTAAATCTTCTAAATTTAAAACGGAAAATCTTAATTAAAGAGGAAAATACAAAAGGAATCCTTTTGTCATTCTTCCATTAAAATGAAGAATAAAAATATTCTACATTTCAATTGAATAATCTTGTTTTAAGAGGAAATATTTAGAGGATATTAGAAGAGGAATTTTCCTCTAAGTATAAGATTACTTTTTTTTGGGTGTATGAATTATTTTTATTATAATTTAATTCTTAAATTTAGAATATCCTTTTTTTTGGGTGTGCGTAAGACTTTTTTTTTGGAGCAAAATTTTTTTCTCAACACATTATGATTGTGAACGAATCAGTACGTGGGATCTGTGAACAAGAAATTACTAGAAAGTCTAGCCTGTTGCCTTATAGAGGAGGTTCCCCACAAAGGTTGTTAGCCAATAAAATGTGCCGCGCAGCGCCGACGCGAAGGTATCACGACATCCCCATCCAATCTTTATCATGAAATTTTCCTGCTTGCTGATCAAATCAAATTGCGAGCTACGTGATTTCAACTCCATTTTATAGATGCAAGTAGAGGCGTTACTACGTTTTTTTTTATATATATAAAAGTATTATAATTTATTTCGATTTCTAATGTTTTTTTACGCAATTTTCAAATTAAACACAATTTTTTTTTATTAAATTTGTGAATAAAAATATAAATTTTCAGTTCTGCTCATAATTCTCTACTTGATTAGAATTTAATTTAGAATTAATGTACGACTTTTACGGCCTACTTCCCAAGTAGAAATGTGCCACTGGCATAGTACTGACCCAACACTGCCAGTCAGTATAATAGTACTGACTGCCGTACTGGGCCAGTAGTGGACCAACCCTGGCTGGTAACGCTGTCCAGTACTGATTTTGTCCCGCTCACCAGTACTAACGTAGTACTAGAATAATACTGGCATAATACTGGCAAAGTACTCATCCGGACTTAAAATCTCACTTTTTTACAAAATGCTAAAACACGCTTTCCAATGCAAATTTCATCCTTATTAGCTTATTACTCCCATTTTTACCACCAACAGGTAATGTGAAGCCAATAATAGTTAATGTTATTTAGAATATATAAAATATTATTAACAATAAATAATTAAAATAATAATTATCATTTATATTAATTAAATTATTTTATTTTTAATAAATTATTTTACAAAAAATAATTTGTGTTGTAAATTTTCTTATTTTTTTAAATTCATAATATTTAATTTTTTTTACTTTGCACTTATACTTAATTTAATAATTATTTAATAATTGATATTACACATGATCAAATATTGTACTTATAACACTTAAAACTAAGAACGAAAAATCTCGCACGCATGGGGGATCGAACCCTAAACCCTTAGAACGCAAGTCAGATACGCATACCGCACAGCCGCGCTGGCTTGAAGTGCTGACTTGAAGTAGTTCACCTAATACAAAAGTTTTGATTTCAAAGTTTGTATTATCTATTGATCACGAAAATAAAATGAATTTATTCTTAAATTTTTTAAACTCACAAAATTTTTTCAATTTTTACAAAGATTTAATGAAATAAAACTGGATATCAATTTCAGTTAAATATTTTTAATAAATTATTTTTACCGTAAATAATATTAAAACAGACAAAAATGATTGATGAATTACATAATTAAAAATAAGTTAATAAAAGACGACTGTAAAATATGAATGGTAAAAAAATTTTTAAATTTAATATTTAATTATTAATAATATTTAAAAATAACAGTGAAAAAATTACATTTGCTTTATTTTTAAAACTATTAGAAAAAAATTCTCAACTTATTGTTATTGTATGCATGATAAATAACTTAATGCACATATTTCAATGAGTACTAAAATAACTAAAAAAACATAAATATATTTTATATAGGTATATAATAATACATTACAATTACATCCAAAATTTTGAGGGAAAGTATTCGAAAGAAATTAATATACATTTTTTTAAATAAAAAATCATCGTTTTCTACCTATTGGAATAATTTAAAGACTTTTTCATTTAATGTTTTTTATCACCGACATAGTACTGATTCGGTGTGAATGACAGTGTACTGCCAGTACTGGTTTTAATATTTTTTTACCTCCGACATAGTACTGATTCGGTGTATTAGTCAGTACACTGCCAGTACTGAAAGTCAATACCGACAGCCAGTATTGGATCAGTACCATGCCGGTGTTTAATTACGGCGAGCTACGGATATTTCTACTTGGGTTATAATTCAAATTCAGCTTTCTTAAGTATATGTTTTGCGAATGTCTGATCATGAATAACATGACCTCCTTCATTAGTCCTTAATCTATAATCGCGACATCCGAAATATATTTTATGTCTGGCTATACATTACATTTACTACTTAATTAGATTTTAATTCATTCCACAAAAAATTATATATATTCCTATAATAATAGAAATATCATTACATTCGCATTGATAAGTTCACTGACATTTGTTTATTGACAAAGTTTTTAATAACAAATGTCTGATAAAAAAAAACTTTGATTTGATTTAAATGAAAACATTGACATTTAACGAATTTTTAGTAAATTTATGCAAGCAATAGAAAATAACTTATGTAAATCAGTAATTTGTATATAACATAACCTTTAAAATTAACTATTAAATCAGTAGATTTTGTGGCCGCCACCATATATTTATATTACTGATTCAATCAGTAATTGATATTTTACTAATTGAATCAGTAAATTTCTACTAATTGTCAGTTGCTCAATTCTCGCTATGGCAATTAGTAGATTTCTACTGCTAATCAGTAAAATGTGACTGATTCAGATTTAGAGAGTATATATTTAGACTCACAAATAAATCAGTGCTAAAATCACTAAAAATTAGTGCTACAAACATTAGTGAACTAATGCTAAAACTACTAATAAATTAGTAATAAAATAACTAACAAACTAGTTCTAAACTCTGTAATAAATTAGTGGTAAAATCACTAAAAAACTACTGCTAAAATCACTAGTAAACCAGTGCTAAAATCAGTAATAAATTAGTGTTAAAATCACTAATAAATCAGTGATAGAATCATTACTAACAGAAAAATGTCAGAATTATTAAAAAATTAGTATCAGAATCACTAACAAATTAGTAACAGAATCACTATATAGTAAATTAATAAAAGAATCTAGTAAATACTTGTAGTGCAATCACTAACAAATCAGTAACAGAATTGTTAGTGATTGCACTATCAGTATTTACTAGATTCTTTTATTAATTTACTATAGTAATTTTGTTACTAATTTGCAAGTGATTCTGATACTGATTTTTAGTGATTCTGACATTTCAGTTAGTAATTATATTACAAATTTATCAGTGATTTATCACTGATTTATCAGTGATTTTTAACACTAATGTATTACTATCTTTAGTAATAGCACTAAAAATTATTAGGAAATCACTAACAAATCTGTAATAGAATCAGTAATGGAATCATTAACAAATCACTAGCAAAATCATTAACAAATCAATAACAGAATAGTAAGAGAATCAGTAATAGAATCATTAACAAATCAGTAACGGAATCATTATCAAACCAGTAATAGACTGCTTAATAAGTCCCTATTATTAGAATTGCGCCACTGTTCTAAAAAATTACCAATCAGTTCTAGAATCACAGTTCAATCAGAAAATTTTTACATATTGAAATTAAATTCTCACTGACAAAAGTCTCGAATCAGAATATATCAGTGAAATTTTTCCTACTTAAAAATAAAAAGATGTACAAAACCCCGCAACCAATAAAAAAATTACTCAATTAAATCTATTGTACGACAAACCCCTTTAGAAAATCATCCCTCAATAAAAATCACCCCTACTCAATTAAAAAGAAAAAATCGTCTCAGATTGATAAATGGAACGCGCATATGATTCTGAACGCGAATGAAAAAGCAGTATTAAACTCTCAAATAGGTGTAATAGATGTGGGAGGTATATAAAAGGTGTTTTCAAAGAGAGAGAAGAGAGAGTGAGTGAGAGAGAGAAAAAAGGTGGCGGAGCGATAAAAGAGTATGAGAAGGGGGGGCAGAACACATAAGGGAGGTGGATGATCAGAATCGAGACTAGATAGCATTATATAGGATAGCATCGGTGAAAGAGAAGATGATCCCCACCACGTGTGGGCGGAGCGTACAGGTAGCGTGCACACGTGAAACACCAATGTGCCATGTGTGCAACCCTGTGTTAGTGGTTTCGAAGAAAAAAACCGTGCAGGTAAGGGAACAGACCACTCGTCTAACCTGGGTCAGTCAGGGTCCTGCTCTTCGTTGGGACACATTCATGTTCCTTTCATCAGTGAGAGAGAACCGGTCCCAAAAATACGACGAGAGTCCTTTTTCTGTTTTTCACTTTACAACAATTTTTTTGTTTCTATCTTTTTTTTTTTTGCAAAATTTTACTGGATATAAGTGTCCCTGATAAAGGGTTTTTTTTTTTTTTTTTAAATCGGTGAAAAGTAATTTTGTCATCTATATTTAAGAGGACAATGTGTTGTTTCGAGTAAAAGGGAAGAAGGAAATAAATAAAGGACACACGTGTGTAAGTGACGAACTTTGTGAGTTTGGTTATCAAGTTGTTCAAAAGTTCAAGTTTAGTGGTTTACTATATAAACACACTGTCTTTGTGGATTTGTATCCTGGAATGATCCAGAGGAAGAGATTTTAGATCGCAAAACGAGTGTTGAACATATGCGAAACGTGATGTGTGGTGAGTTTTTTCCGCATTTGGCAAATAAATTTTTATTTGATTTTGAAAGGATTTTGAAAATTTATGAATTGTATATTAGGTGTAAAAATTATTACCATTTACTCTCTAAATCTGAATCAGTGAAAATTTTACTGATTCAGATTTAGAGTGTAGAACAAGAGGGTTTTTAGCAGATTTTAACTGTTGATTAGCAGATTTAAAATTGGATACAGAATATCTGATTTTGGTTTTCAATTTTTGATGCCAATTTTGGTATTAGCAAACAAATGCTACTGATCATCAATAAAGATTTGTGCCGAAAGCTTTTGAAATTGGATTCAAAATCAGAATTTATGATTAGAGATTTTGTGATAACAAATTCTGTAGACTTTTCTGCTTTTGGATCATCTTTCAGATTTTCGGACAAAATTTTGTTAAAACGAATTCTACTATAGATAAAAATTTTTGATAAAATTACAGATTCAAAAACAGAATTTATGATTCAAGATTTTGTAAAGACAATAAATTCTGTGGATTTTTATGCTTTTGGTTGTTGGATCATGTTTCAAATTTTGGGTACAAATTTTCATGATACACAGTAGCATATTTTTCTTTTTTTTAATGATTGACTGAAATTTCACTAAACGAAAAAAATATTTATTCTTAAATTCCAAATTCAAATTTAATAAGACTATATATATTCTAAATTTTGAGAATATTTTCGGAAATATCTTAAAATATATTTTTATTTTAAGAATAAAATTGCATTGAAATATTCTAAACATATATATAGGTCAAGAATAATAATCTAATCTAGGCCTTGCGATTTTTATAAACTTTTAAATAATATAGTAAATATTTATAAATAGACACAAAAACAACAATAATAGTTATCAAGTATAAAAATAATACATGAAATTTAAATTCCTTTTTTAAAAATTTTATATTCATTATATTCATCAAATGTGCACAAAAATGTGTCGAATCATGTTAAATATTATATTATAAAACAAAAATCTATAAAAGATAAAAAAAAATTATAATTTCCGCATCATATATTATGCATCAAGGATTTGATTCATGAAAAGATCATTTAAATCAACAGATGTCATCATATTAATTATGATCGAGAATATATATGTATCAATATACAATTTTCGGTTTTAAAAATTGTTCCTTTTTTCATGCTTGAGTAAATATAATTCATAATTAATTATTATTCACATCTATTCCCTATAATTGTTTTGTATTATGAATTATTTTTCTTAATAATCTGTACTAGTAAAAAAATCCATTATTTAAAAAAAATTAATATAAAATATAGAAATAATATTATCAACATTAATGATTAATAATTTTCGACATAACAAATAGATGTGTTTTTTTTAAATATGTTTGTCTAAAACAAATGTGGATATTATTATTTTCTTTTTTTGAGAGATAAATGCATTTCTATAAATAGGTTTTTATATAAAGTTCGAGACCATCTGTTAGCACAAAAGAAATTTATATTTTAATATAGAAATAAATTATACATTTTTCTGAAATGATGATATCTGTTAAATTTAATAGATCGTTTCTCATTTATAAAAATAGTAACATATGTTATTAAAATATTATATACTGTTAATTGAAGAGAAAAACACTTAAAGTACTTTTACTATTATTTTTTTCTTTTCAAAATATAGTATATAAAAATCATTTTTGAAGAATATTATTATTTTAAAAATATATTATATTATTATTATAAAAATATAAAAGCAGATTATACATTAAAATCTTTATTAGCACGTGGAATATATTTTTTATGATAATAAATCTTATTTACTATTAAATGAGTAGTTATTTTTATCTCAAAATATTGGTATTCGAAATATGCAAATTAACAAAAGACTATGTATAACATTATAAGTTAATGTGGAGCAAACTTATTCAATTCCAAATGTCTATATATATTGACATAAATTTCCATAACCACAATGTTAGCCTTCAATATATTTCCATTCGTGAAATAAGAGAATTTCGCTATTCACAAAACTATATGAAGGTAAAAATTTTCTATGGTGGAAATAATACAATTTTATTACTAAATATTTAATTGATAAAATTATTTTAAACATCCGCGGTTTATCTGTAATAGAAATCTGATATATTTAAATTGAGAATTATGAAATTTACCATTTTTTCACCTGTGACACAAAAATGCTTATCTTTATTTTTTTAAATTGAAGGTATTAAATAGACTATATATATTAGAACAGATTTCTTTTGTACTAATAATACTTCGAAATCAAAAATATTGAATAAGAAAAGTTATCTAATAAATATTAAATCAGAAATATAAAATTTTTATTATTTATTATTTAATTATTATTATAATTAATAATAACCGTTATTAATATTTTTTATTGTTATTAATAAAAATGAAACAAACAATAAATAATTATTGTTAATTAATTTTGTCAATATTGTTAATAATTATAAATACTATTAACAATTGTGAATTCTGTTAACAATTAGTTAATAATTTTTTATATTGTTAATATTGTTAACAATTGTAAATACTATTAATAATTGAAAAAATTGTGTTAACAATATTTGTTAAAATTAATAAAAATAGTTAACGTTGTTAATAGTGTTAAAAATTATTAACAATATTGTTGTGTAGGCAAATCTTATTTTTGAATATATAACAGCATAAATGTACAATAATTTTTTTTACAGTAATTTAATGCTCGAGCACCGTTAAAAGCTTTAATTGTCTAATTAGTCGATTGCTATATAGATAGGCGCAACGTATTTATCCATATGCATTATATATATACAAATAGAAAGAGTTTAACGGAAATGCAAATATATATTTTTTGGAGAAAAAAATAGTCCAAAAAAAGATAAACAAAATTTTGTTATTGCATAAAAAAAGAATTCATTGAATTAAAGAAATATACTATAGAAATGATTATAAATTTTTTTTGGTTCTTTTATATATTATATTTGAACAACCACACTCGATCAAAGTTTGATAATATATTCAATAGAATTTTGTTAAGCAAACTTTAATTAGAGTATAAAAATTTTATTCATAAATCATTATCTATTCGTTATTCGTGATAATAGATCAATTTAGATTCACTTTTTTTAGTTATATAATTGCTAGTATATAATTAACAAATTTTTATTAAATAAAATATTTTTTCAGATTTTTTTTTGCAAAATTTTGAACATTATTTTAACATTGAAATGAAAAAAAAAAAATTCGACACTTATCAGAAAGATTATATTTTTTTCGTAAAAAGATAACCTTCAAAAAAAGAATTTTTTATATATATATGTATATAAAATATTGGATTTTCAATTGTTTTAACAAGTGCAAAAAAACAAATCTATCTTATTAACATTGTTTTCTCAACCAAAGCGATGACAAAAATTTCATTTGTCACTTGTTTAAACTGAAGGAAATCAAAATATAAGATAATATGTTTTATTAGTTGAATTTATATACACGATTAAATTTCTTGATCAAGGACAAAAAGCAATCATTTCCGTAAAATTTAAATTTAGATTTCATTTATATTATTACAATAAAAAAAAAGAAAAAACAATATATATACATACTTATTAAATTAAAAAATAATAAATTTTTTTATATCGATTAAAGTGTAAAAATTTTCCTTTCTTTAAATTAAAATTTTTTAATAACAATATTTCACCAGTGAATATATAAATAAAATTGTTTTAGTTTTATTATTATTTTGTTTCTAAAAAAAAAAAAATTAAAAAAATCTTTAATTTTGTAAAAAAAAATTGAAAATTTTCTTTTATTAATTTAATATAAAAATTATTAATTTTATATGAAAGAAATATTTGATAAAAATAAAAGAAAGCAATTAAATTGTAAAATCATTAATACAGAAAAAAGAAATGATAAAAATCAGAAAAGCGATTGCTTCCGGATTTTTTGGGAAAGTGAAATCGTCGTCACCGTGTCAATATATATTTATTAACGATATTGCTATTATTATTTTCATTTTCATTATCATTAAAGCTTTGTCATTAACGTGAAATCGTCACGACACATATAGGTATTATAATATAAAGCACACTGGGGACAATCACGTCCCTCCAACATCAGATAATAATAATTTCTAACGATGCACGCACTTTGATATATATATATATATATATATATATATATATGCTTCACGTACTTTTCGATTTACTTTTTTTTTAGTTCCTGTATTTTTGTACATCAACGAATATTGACGATTATTTTTCTGATAAAAAAAAACAATGTCCCTTTTTATTTCAATTTAATGATGTTCTCATCCCTAAAAGTAATTTCTTTCAACTGTAATATATATTAAATGTAATTTACGTTCAGTATATTTTACATTGGAAATTTATTTATTAAAAATTTATTAAAAATTTATTTAAACAATTCAAAAATTGTTTAATTACAAAAGTTTGCAAATTGTTTAATGAAACAATTTTTTTTAAAAAAAATGCAATAAAAAAATTGTTAAAATTATAAAAATTGAAATAAATAAATAATTTTTGAATATAAGTGATAATTTTTTTTGGATATGAATTTTAAAGAAGCAATTTTTTTTATTGCCCCCCTTATTAATTGCAGAGACAGTGTCGAGATCGTGGTACATAAAACCGGAATTGCACTGCAATCCAGTAGGTGTTCCAGCGGGAGCTTTATCGCCTCCAGCGACACTCTCGCCACCCAACAGTCCCAGTGTATTACCACCATCACCCTGGAGTCCTGGTGGAATTGGTAGCAGTAGTTCAAGCAGTACAATTTCAAATCCATCAACACTGAGTCAACCAGCTCAGGATCGACTCAGCGCCTTTACCATTGTCTCTGGCTATAATCCGGAAATACAACGATTTCCCAATTTACCCGTTTCCTCGCATGCAGCCTCACGAGGTATGTTCAAAAAAAAAAAAGAAAAAAATATTCTCAAATAAAAGAGGATTTTTAAAAATAAATTTTTTTTTATAATTTTTTTTATAACAGTGTTGCCTGATACTTCGTATTTTAATATATTCCTAAAGAGATAACAGTTTTCAAATAATTTGTATTTGTTTTCTATTTTCAACGATTCGTTTCATTATAGATTATAATAAATTATTTTTCCAATGGAAAAATTTTTTTTCTTTTTTTTATATTGTAAATTTTTTTTGTTTATTTATATTTTATATTGTATTTTCCTTCTTTTGTTTATTTATTATTATTGCTGTTTTTTATTTTTCAATAAAATAAATATTGGCAATAATAATAAATAAAAAATTAGTTAAATAACAGTGTCTTTTTTTTTGAGAAATAACTTATTGAATTAAAGTTATTTTCATAGAAATATAATTGTATGTAGGGAAATTATTATTTTGTATATTGGGAGTGGGGACAATTTATAAGCAGTGCATGAAGCAAAATGTGTAATTTGTATAGCCCCTTAATCCGTGCGTAATATAGCATTCTGTTTTTTTCAATGACTTGATTCTTATGTTACAGAAATGCGTTGCGGTTTAATGTATGGGGGATATGCGGCTGCGAGTACTGCATGGTGGGCCCACCATGCTGCTGTAGGCCTTCTGTTACCTCATTCCCTCATTCCTCCAAGAATCCCCTCTCAACAGACGAACATCACCAGTTCACCGGTTCATCCTGAACCTCCGAGTCCTGCAAGGGCCACATCGCCCCGTCGATGTACACCGGAGAAGGCGAAATTCGGTAAATATTCATTCTTTTCCATTAAAAAATAAAAAAAAATTATATTCCTTTTTTTGAAAACACTGTAACCTCGATAACTGAGATTTTGAAGCGTTTCTGTTCTATTTCGATTTATCGTTGTTTCTTTAGAAATTATACAAATTGAATTGTATTATTTTTCCTCTAATGAATTTTTTTACGAAGGAAATACACTGTAACCTCGATAACTGAGATTTTGAAGCGTTTCTGTTCTATTTTTATTTATTGATGTTTCCTTAGAAATTATCCAAGTTGAATTCTATTATTTTTCCTCTAATGAATTTTTTTACGAAGGAAATACACTGTAACCTCGATAACTGAGATTTTGAAGCGTTTCTGTTCTATTTCGATTTATCCAAGTTGCACTGTACCATTTTTCGCTCCATCGAATTATTCACGAAGTAAATATACACTGGAACCTCAATAAATGAGATTTTAAAATATTTTCCCTCCCTTACTATAAATATTGAAGTTGGATTGTATTATTTTGTTACAAAGGAAATACACTGTAACCTCGATAACTGAGATTTTGAAGCATTTCTGTTCTATTTCGATTTATCGATGTTTCCTTAGAAATTATCCAAGTTGAATTGTATTATTTTTCTTCTAATGAATTTTTTTACGAAGGAAATACACTGTAACCTCAATAACTGAGATTTTGAAGCATTTCTGTTCTATTTCGATTTATCGATGTTTCCTTAGAAATTATCCAAGTTGAATTGTATTATTTTTCCTCCAATGAATTTTTTTTTACTAAGCAAATACACTGTAACCTCGATAAATAGGATATTGAAGCGTATCTCTTCCATTTCGATTTATCCAAGTTGCACTGTATCATTTTTCCCTCCGTCGAATTATTCACGAAGTAAATATACACTGGAACCTCAATAAATGAGATTTTAAAATATTTCCCCTCCCTTACTATAAATATCGAGGTTGGATTGTATTATTTTGTTACAAAGGAAATACACTGTAACCTCGATAAATGAAATTTTGAAGCTTGAAGAATGAAAATTTTTGAACTTAACAAAGTTTTTTCTTCCTGCAAAAGAATTTTAGATTTTTTGTTTAAAATAATATAGTAAAAAAGAATAAATCTCTTTTCAAAAACAGATTTGAATTTTGTCTTCTTCCCCTTAATTATGGTTCATTTCCGTCCAATTTTTTTTCCTATGGATTATAAACGATTTGTGTGTCATTCGATGCTAGGAAAGGCATATTTTTTTTTTGTTTCTTCCTGTTCGGATTTTTTCCCCTGATTTTATTTAACAGAAATTTTCTCTTCCTTGATTTTCTTCTTTTTTTTTTTTGTTTCGAATATATATGAGGGCAGGTACACTTTATTTACTTTCCTTTGCCCTCTCACTTACGAGGGGCCCTTATACACATTTCTCGCTTCTTTTCTCCTTCTGGCACGCTCGCATGTCGCCCACCTGTCGGCAAAAAGGATCGAGAAGCCACCGTATAAATTCACTTCAGGACAATGCCTTCTCTTCTCATCCGTCTATTTCTAAAAATTCACTTTTAGAATACTAATCCGCTTTTCTTTTTTACATTGTGTTAAATATTTGACTTCTTATTTTAATACGAAAATTAAATTTGCATTTAAATTCAGTCAAATATTAAATAATTAAAATTATTTTTTATTAATTTAATTAGTTAATACAATTAGTATTAATTAATGAAATTAGTAATTAAAATTAATTTTAATATTACTAATTAATTAAAATTTAAAAAAAAATATTTTTCTAAAGGAATCTTTGAAATTTTAATTACAGATGAAGAAGTGCCGTTAAATCTGAGCACGAAACCTAGCGATGTTTCTTCAACGAATAGTCGGAAGAGCGAAATCTGGTCTCCTGGCTCAGTTTGCGAAAGGGAAGCAAGAGAGACGAGGGTACCATCTGATCGACATTCCCCTTCGGCAACAACGCCGGTAATAACTAGACAAATTCACCACTCCCCCCTCACACCACCCTCGTCATCCGAGAGAACCTTTCAGGTAAGTTTCCAAAACTTTTTTTTCTTTTTTTCTTTACTAAACTTCATTCATTTTTCATCATTAACTTCCTCCCTTCAAAAATCCTTGTCTTGTCTCATGGGAAAATTTAAGAAACAGAAAAAAAACCGCATTTCTCTTTATTCTTTTTGGGGAATTATTATTATTATTATTATTTTTACAAAATTTTTGAAACAAAATTTTCAAGCCTCAAAAATTTGAAAAAATATTTATTAAAATGTGAAAAAAATTTTAAACAATTTTATATTTTTATGATAAAAAAAAGACAAAGAAAAAAAAAATCTTTTTTCTTTTTTAAACTTGTTTTTTCAATTTTCTGTCACAAATCATGAAACATTGAAAAAATATAATCTTGATTCACATGACAGTAAATGTTTTTGCGAAGTACGCGCACTTGAGAAAAAAGAAATCAAAAGCCAGAAGTAGGTCCCATGAGTCTCGTATATAGAATCCCCCCCCCCCCTCCTCCATATTGTGGTGGAAAATAGAGAAGACTTTAACAGTAAAAGATTAAAGATAAACTCGCGATAGTTGGACTTATTTCGTGGAAGGTAAAATAAATATCTGTCTTAGAAATCTCACTTTGCCTTCTATATTGATTCCATAAAAATGAATCTTCTATATTCGGACATTGACCAAATAGGAGTGTCAGTTGAAGAAATTAATTCTTCAATTACCTAAACTGTTTTTTCTAATATTGAAAGAAAAATAAAACTTATTTTTCGTAATGAAGAAAAAACATTTTTTAAAAAAAAATCAGTTTAAACATTTTTTTTATTCCCATATTTTATTCTACTGGTATAATTTTAAAAATGATTTTTTTTTTCTATAAAAATATAGTCATTATTTACAAAAAAAAAAAGAAGGAGGCTAAAAAAATACTGCTTTTAAATCTGAGAATCAATTGGAAATAATTTCTTATTTTTATTAGAGGAAAATTGTAAAGGAGTTTTTGACGCGTAGGAAAAAAAAAAAGTGTTATCATATATTTGTAAGCCCCCGTGAATTACCCTGGCATAGTTGTTTTATGACAAATATATGTGGAGCTTCCACTGGAGATCGTAAAAATGCTTCGATTTTCCATGAACTCTTGCAGTTAAACTCGACTTCAATTTCAAAACTGTGAGCGTTGACAATATTAGAAAAATATATTAATATTGAAGGACTCGAGGTTTATGACTAATCGATAAAATCGTATATTTTTTTTCTTTTAAACTCAAATTAATTATTAATCGAAATTTTTTTTGAAAAATCATTTAAGAATAAAGAAAATGAAGAAAAAAATTTGAAAAGTTTTAGAAAAAAACAAGGCAAAAAATTTCCACAAAATTTTATACATTATACAAAGATTTAAATCTTCATATGTATCTTTATATATATATAAATGTGACGTCATAATTGATATGCATTGCATTTGAGCAAACACAACAGTTTTTCGAATGTAAATTAATGACTTTCCTGCATCAGAATAAAATGAACATAAAATTTGTCATCTTTTTCTTTATATTAATCTTTGATAGTTTATAGAAACAAAGAAAAAACATACGAATAAATAAATTTTCATTTGTGAAAACTAGTTTGAAAAAAAAGTGTAGTAACTAATTTCGTAATTATTTAATTTAGAAATAAAATAAAATTATTTAATTTATAAATAAAATCAAATTATTTTATTTTTTTAAATAAAATTAAATAATGTATTAATAAAAGAAAAAAACGATTGAATTTTCAGGAAATTATTATATATTCGCAAATCTGAAAATTAGTCATTAACAACCAACGAGAGAGTCATCAATATTATTATATATTCTTTGTCTTGTAAAACTCAACCGGAAGTTGATGCTTTTATACTTTCGAAAAAAAGTGTTACTTTCCTCACCCTTTATCTTTTCACACAATTGCCTTATTATTTTCTTGAGATTCATTCCTTTTTCTCGCATTCGGTATATTATACTACGCTTTTCTTTTTAAATGCACATTTTCACACGAAAGGATATAATAATATTCAATTTGTTCGTGGGATCATCAAAAAAATATAATTTCAATAAATGGGAGAGAAAATTTACTCGCGATTATTGTCAATAAAAATACGAATTTTTTTTCTCCATTTACATTGTCTTTTTTTCTTTCTTATTGATATTATTATTATAATAATATATAATATAATATTGTTATACAATTTCAAGTATAAACTTTTTTTTCACTTATTTTCAAGAAAAGAAATAATTATTAAAATGGTTCATTTCGATAAAAGATAAAAAAAAAAAATAAGTATATTAATAAATCGATTGAAAGTAGTGGAATGATTCATAAAATGTTTTGTATCGATAATTTCATAGAAATATAGAGAAGGACATGGAATATATGATTCTGTGAACACGTATGGTTCATTGTCCAATAAAGCAGAATGGATGCGGTATTGTCAAGGCATGGCGCCTCTAACAATATATATAATACGTCGAGAAAACGGTGCTGCGTAAATACAGCCGCGTTCGGCATTATTAAACTCGATAATAAATTTCATTAAATGAATTTTTTTTAAAAAAAGACATATATATGGAGAAAAAAAATTTCATTTAAACAATGAATTATTTTTTCGATATTCCATTTAAAAATATATAAATTTTTTTTTTATGTTTCAGTGCAAGCAGTGCGGAAAGGCTTTCAAGAGATCTAGTACATTAAGCACACATTTATTAATTCATTCGGATACGAGACCCTACCCTTGCGACTATTGTGGCAAAAGATTTCATCAAAAATCCGACATGAAAAAGCACACATACATTCACACTGGTAAGATTTCATTATTATTATTATTATTATTATTATTATTTAGTAGAACCTCTATAACTAAGTGGTACCCGACTAAGTGGTACTAAAGTAAGTGGTAGCATTCTTACTGGTACCAAACCAAGTGGTACCATTCTTACTGGTACCTAATTAAGTGGTACCATTCTGACTGGTACCTAATTAAGTGGTACCAAACTAAGTGGTACCTAACTAAGTGGTACCTAACTAAGTGGTTCCTAACTAAGTGGTGCCTAACTAAGTGGTGCCTAACTAAGTGGTACCTAACTAAGTGGTACCTAACTAAGTGGTACCTAACTAAGTGGTACCTAACTAAGTGGTTCCTAACTGAGTGGTACCTAAGTAAGTGGTTCCTAACTGAGTGGTACCTAAGTAAGTGGTTCCAAACTAAGTGGTACCTAACTAAGTGGTACCTAACTAAGTGGTTCCAAACTAAGTGGTTCCTAACTAAGTGGTTCTAAACTAAGTGGTTCTAAACTAAGTGGTTCCAAACTAAGTGGTACCTAGTTAAGTGGTTCCAAACTAAGTGGTACCTAATTAAAAGATTCCAAACTAAATGGTTCCATACTAAGTGGTACCTAACTAAGTGGTTACAAACTAAGTGGTTCCAAACTAAGTGGTACCTAATTAAAAGATTCCATACTAAGTGGTTCCATATTAAGTGGTACCTAACTAAGTGGTTACAAACTAAGTGGTACCAAACTAAGTGGTACCTAATTAAAAGATTCCAAACTAAGTGGTACCTAACCAAGGTGTACCATTCTGACTGGTACCAAACTGAGTGGTACCAAACTAAGTGGTATCAAACTAAGTGGTACCTAATTAAAAGATTCCAAAGTAAGTGGTACCTAACCAAGTGGTACCATTCTGACTGGTACCAAAGTAAGTGGTACCCAATAAAGTGTTACCAAACTGAGTGGTACCTAACTAAATGGTAAAATTCCGACTGGTACTGCAGTTTTCTATGTGGTACCTTAGTTCGAGTAAAAGTTACCAATTCAGTAAAAATTCGAAACAAAAATTTTTTTTCCATTGCATATATATGCAATTAATGAAAAATAATTTTTTTTTTCTTACATAATCATAAACCTGACCGTGTGGGTAAAGATAAAATATTCTTTTTTTAAAGTGTGGGTAAAGTGTTTTTAGATTATAATCAGGAAATACACTTTTGTCTTCATTTGAGTAAAAAATATGAGCGAAATAAAAATTCACTTATACACTATATTTTGGGGCCAAAAAGTTTGTTATGCGCTCACACTTCATATACATAGATGCGCGCACATGTATATATATATATATATATATTTATCGCTCGTTTGGAAAGTATTAAAGGGCACCGGTAAAAATTACAGGTTACTTTTTCCGGTCGCGCGCAATAACGATCCAATGTTTCTTGCATATATATATATATGTATATACACATATTCAAGAGTAAGCTTCACTAACTTTAAAAGTGTTTTTAAATTATTCACAAAGACGCGCCTCGTTAATGTTACAGCTCACTTAAGTCAGTCATTAAATTTTCTCAAAATTTTACAAAAAAAAAAAAAAAAAAAAAAAAAAAAGTTGTAACATATATTCTCGAACATAAACAAGAGAGATAAAAAGATGTTGTAAAAATCGCGTTGCTGTAATTTTAACACCTGCCGAAACTATATATATAGATATATAAAAACCTGTCGCAGGTTGTATTTTTTTTCTATATAGACAAATTCAGTATTGGAGATTCTGAAATATTTACAACCCTAATTGAACTTTTATTCTAAACTTTTGTCAAGAGCAATTATTTATTTCAACGTAATCCACGATTGTTTCATTGTTCAATTGAAAACTTAATAACAGTCACACAAAAAAAAAAAAAACACGGGGCTCTAAAAAAAAGTTTTCGAAGAAACTTTTTTCTATCGATTTCACCGCGATTGTCAAATAAATATATATATGAGAAGCAAATTACATTTAGTTATAATCAAAATATTTTGTTTGAATAAAATTTATGATAATTTTGAATTAAAAAATTGAATTTGATTTATTTTCTAATAATTGTAGTTTGCGTATAGTTATTAATACAATGTCATACGGATAATTATAACATCATTTAAAAATCTGTGATAAATTTATAAATATGTATTTTTGAATATGAAAGAATGATTTGAAATTAGAACTATACAGGATGTGAACTACATATATATATATAAAGTTGATATATGTGTGTAAAGTAACATTAATGTGATATATGAAACCCTATTTTACTATATGGCAGAGATCCGCCTTCTTTACATGAAGAAAGAGGGCTGCAGAATTCAAGGGGTTTGGACTTATATGAAAACCTTATGCGGTAAATCCACCCCAACATGACAATCAGACAAAATACATGCGTCGATTTCTCAATAATGCACGATATTAAGGGGTCACACTGTCAATTTGTAAAGTTCTACCATTGTATCAGCCGACAACTATATGGCTTTAAAGTGTTTCACTGTTTTCAAATTATCGATTATGAATTTAATATACAATCAAATTGTACAATTTTCTAATTCGGTTTTGAAAAATTCTGTATCAGGAAGAGAGAAAGAGTTTATTTTAAAAAAATTATTATTATTATTTTTCTATTTACACTTAGAGAAAAGTTTTTGTTTAAACCAAATAAATCATTTTTTTTTTGACCCTATATCAATTAATTCTTTGAATCAAAGAAATTTTCTATAAAACTAAGAAGTTATTTTGTTTCAAAGACAATTTTATTTCGAATGAAAGAAAAGTCAAAGAAATTGGTTTCTTTAAATCAAAGAAATCTTTTCTCTAGGTGTACAAAAAATATATTTGATTCAAATAATTACTTGACTGTTATACTTATTTGAACCAAATAATTTTTATTTGAATTAAATTTTTATATTTGAATCAAATAAATTTTATTTGAAACATTAATTTCTCTATTTGAAACAAATACAATTGACTAAAATAATATTTATTTAATAAAAATAAATAAACTGAAAAAAATTGATTCAAATAATCGGTTTGAATTGAACTTGACTATTATCAAATAAATATTTACTTGAAGCAAATAATTTTTAAATAAACTGTATTTGAACCAATTCAAGTAAATATTTCCAAATAACCAATTATTTGAGTCAAATAAATTTATTTTTTAATTTTTTGAAAATCTTGAAAGTTTCCACTGTCGGTTTTTTCCTTCTTTTTTTTGCGCAAGCAAAGAATTTATTTAAAAAAAATATATATAAGTCTTATGTTTATCAGAAAAAAAAAAATAACAGTCAAGTTATCGCGGACCCCAGGACAGTAAAGCAGAAAATGCTTTGGTTACGATAAATTGAACCGGTTCGATGCGACGGACACCGAGTCATTATTACGACATTGAAATAAACAAGAAAGACAATAATTGCTCTAGCCTAGAAACAATATAATTGCCTAGCGCATCGTTGACTATATATATACATAGAATCAGCTATAGTTTTTTTTTTTTTTTTTTTTGCATTTAGGGATAAATCGTCTTATCTTTGAAAGTAAAAAGAAATGGAGTGTGATTATGCCGCAACAAGTCGCGCGATATTGAGAGACAAAATACACCTGATAACAGTGATATCGAAGCATGAAAATGTTGTCAATTGCCTACGTGCCTTTTTCAAGGTTAAACTAGAAGCTGCATATAATTACCGTAAAAACATAATTTTTTTTTTTTCATTTTGTTTACATTCAAATATGAACTGATAAATTTTATATCATTTTTTTTTTCCTCTGACTTATATAAGTTATGTGTGCGACAATAGTTTCAGTTAAATTATATTCAGCTAATTTATTAAATAAATTGATAAAAAAAAAAATTTAATAGAATTACAATAAGAAAAAATTTGTAATTCTATTCAATTATAATAATTTTTTTTTTTTAATTTTAGATAATTTTTTACGTTTTATTTAATTTAATTATTATTTTTTTTGCCAATTTATAATTTTCACTGAAAATTAAAAGGCATTAAAATAAGCTATTATTTTAATCCAATTTTGCTTATTTTAATCCATTTTGGTATTGAAATAAGCAAAATTGGATTAAAATAATAAGCGTTGCAGCTTATTTTAATGTCTTTTAATTTTCTCTGTTTCTATAATTTATAATTGTTTCAATTATTTTGTTTCTAATTTCTTTTCTCTATAAAAAATATTTTTTTTTGGGGAAATTATTAAGTAATGATAATTGTAATAATTAAAAAGAAAAGTTTTGTGTCTTCTTTTTTTTTTGTATTTTATATTTTTTTCTTCGTTAATTTGAACCCCTTTTTTGAATTTAATTAGCAGGGGACATGCACCCCAAAAACGTCAGTTTGTGTCAGTCACGTGCCACACACGCGCTTTTTTTTCTCGCCGGAAGCTCACTTAGCACACGGTAAACAGCCCATTTCCCATCGTGCCTTCCTTCCGGTCATTCCTGGACACGCTTGGCCTGTGTTTGGGCAACACGAGAGCCTATATATATATACATTTTTTTTCCATAATATACTTTCTAAAGGCGACGCGCCGTATCGCGATTAAGGTGCGAAAGGGTTGTTGCCAAGATTATAGACCAAGGTAAAAGAATCAGTTAGAGCTGTCCGACTATATATATATATAACTGATATGTTTTACACTTATTATGATGCATTTTAATTAAAGCCACGTGCCTTTCCATATATTGTATATATTTACTTTTTTATAAAAGAAGAAAAAATTTTCTTTTAGTTTAAATTACATTCACTAAATTTTATAATTCACTAATTTAAATTAGTGCAAATTTCTACTAAATTTTAGTCATTTTCAACCAAAAATTTCAGTTTAAAAAAATATTAAATATAAATTATTTATTTTTTAATTTTTTTTTTAAATAATGTACCTTATTTTATATTTTCATATAATAATTTTTTTTCACTTTTTTATATTATATTTCTTTATTATCCCTTGGGGAGACAACAATAGTGAAGCTATTTCTTATGCAGAAACCTACTTATCATCGGGAGTTTTTCCTATATTCGAAACTATATGGCCCCTCATCTATCTTTTGAATGATTTACCGGCGAAAAAGAAAAAGTAGAAAAAAAAGAAGAAAAAGAAAAAAAGAGCGTGCACAAAAATGCACACTGAAAGAGTTATAATGCACTCTTCGTCATTTCTAATGAACGGTCACTGAACCTATCCGCAACTATAAATAATGGAAAACACACTAGACGCGAGTCTTGCAAATTGATTTCCTTACCCCTTTTTCTTCTCTCTATTCGCCGCCCAACTTTTGTTTCAATATTATATATATATACCTATATGTGTGTGCGTTCAATAGGAAAAAAAAAGGGTTGCACAATATATTCCAAGTTCGGAGAATTTTATTCAAAACTTCCCTTCAACAACTAATATCTTAATATATTGTGTTGTGCATTTTCTTTTCTTTCCTCATTTCTTCACTATATATAATATTAGCTGAGCGCGAGTTAGTTGAAAACAATAGTCATCAGGACTTTAGAAACACACACTTAACAAATAAAGATCACTTAGCATAGTTTCACTTTACTTGTTAGTTAAAAACTACTTAACAAGAAATACATATAAAATGTAGATCAAAGAAATTTTTATACCCTATATATATCATTATTTTTTATAGGAATTTTTTTTTTTTGCGTTTCAAAAATCAGAAAAATTTATTTTTATCATAAAAAATATTTATACGATAAAGCAAATGTTAACAATTAAAAAAAAAGGAGAGAAAAAAATTCTTTCGAAGTTCTACAAAAAAGATAACAAAAAAGCAGTTAAATTTCAACATCGATTTTATGATTTTTTTTCTACATATATATCTACATTAATAATCAAATATGTTATTTCAGGTGTTGTCGTTCTCAAGTTCAATGTTAAATATGTGGCAATCTAATAAAAAAAAAAAAAAAATTGATTTCAATATAAATTCTTTTAACAATTTTTTGGAAAATGTATTGGAATTATTTCAATTATTTTCATTCTTTAAAAAAATGAAATTTTTCGAATTTTATAAATTATTTTTTTTATTATTATTCTATAATTATTATAATTTTTATTAATTTTTTATTATATTTTTTTGTATTTTTTATTATATTTTTTATAATAATTTAAAAATATAAAAAGAAAAAGGTAAATTTAGTGTTGAAATGAATTTAAATAAATAATTAAGACTTAATAGTGATTCGTTGATTTGTTCTCATTAGGAAAACTCGGAAAGTGTATACGCGATATTATTTCTATATAGAAGGGTTCATTAAGCATGTTCTACATAATTAAAAAAAAAACTGAAAATCGCTTCTTGTAAGTCTATCATTAAAATGAGAGTCTTTAAGTGAACCTTTTGGTAAATATTTAAGTCATCGGCAAAAGGGTTCGTTAATGAGTTGTGTATATATATATATATATGAATCGATATTTTCTTCGGTCGCTGACATTCTAAACAAACATTGCTTTAACCCCCCCCCCTCCCCCTTTTTTGCCTGTCACTCTAATTATTGGCTTAACTTTAAACATTAATGTGTTCATTAATAATTATATTATTTCACAACCACGCGATTGTATAGACAATAATAACTTATTTATTTATTTATTAATATATATATATATTAATATATAAATTAATATTTAATTAATAATTTAAATTTTAATTTATTAATATATATATTAATATTTCATTAACAAATTTTTAAAAATGATTGAAATTTTTCGTAGAAAATTGTTGTAAAATTTACTATAAAATTCACTGTCAAATTTACTGCAAAATTTACTTGCAAAATTGAAAAATTATAAATAAATTAACTGTAAACCTTTACTGTCAATTTATTTCAAAAATTTATTGTTTTAAATTTTGTTACAAAATTGTAATAGAAAAAAAAAAATTTGTGACCCATTTAGTTTATAATAATAATAATAATAATAATAATAATAATAATCTAATAATTTTTCGCATTTAAAATTATTTAATCTATCTTTCCTTAAAATCAACACATTCAATGTTTAATCAGCTATACAAAAGCACATACAGTTGTCTTGAATTTTAAATAAATAAAAAAAATTAACACATTAATTTTTAAATAAATATAATTTTTTTTTAATTTGTAATATACTAAATTTTTATTATAAATAACTGGAAAATTTTTAAAACAATTTTATTAATTTAATTAAAAATTGACCATTGAAGAAACTAGTAAAAATATATCAATTATAAAATAATAATTATTATAAATAACAATATAAATAATTATTATATTATTTATTAAAAAAAATATTTTATAGAACAAATTTTAATGAAATTTTTTTTTTTTAAGACAATTTGTATTACAATAATTGATAAGGTTTGTTCAACATTAGGAATTGCTTTTTCAATATAAGGGGGCTGTGTTATCACAGATTGTCATTATGGTAATTGATCTTGAATAAATGACAAGTGGAATAATCATAATTTGTCACGTGATATTATTTTAAATATATTGAAAACGTTTTTTTTTTATCTGACACCTGCATCCGTGAAATTGTGAAAATATATTCTAAATTATTCATATAAATATTGTATATATATATATATGAGTCGCTTTCCGTTTCATTTTTTCTTCTTCTTTTATTTATTTATATAATTAAAAAAAAAAAAAGAAAAATTTCTTTTTTTCTTGTATCATTTTCTCTCATTATAAATAATGAAAAAAAAAATAAATGTGTATAAATTTATGGATTTACTCATAATCGTTTTTTTCTTTTTTTTTTATGAAGAGCGATCCATATGATTTATTAGTTGATTCAGGTGCTGCTTTTGCTAACCTTGACGGACAATTTTCATATCCATAATTTGTATTGTGATAAATCGACTTAATTTCATTTTGCCATTGTTATGACATTTATTACTTGTTGATATTTTTCACTGACAATAATTGCAATTTTCTATAATTAGTTTTTAGCAAATTGTCGTTCGCCCCACTTTTATTATTTTTTTTTTTTCAAATGCGAAATTACATTTTTTATTATTATTAAATTTTTGTTAATAATTATTTATTTAATTATTTTTAATATTATTACTGTGAAATATTTTAGTAAAATTTATATTATCGTATTTTTTTATATATAATAAATATAAATTTTCAAAAAAAAATTATAAAATTATTTTTTTCTATTTTTCAGGTGAAAAACCACACAAGTGCGTTGTATGCGGAAAGGCATTTTCCCAGAGTAGCAATTTGATAACTCATATGAGAAAACATACGGGATATAAACCTTTCCAATGTGGTCTTTGTGACAAGGCTTTCCAAAGAAAAGTTGACCTAAGAAGACATCGCGAGGGACAACATCCAGCAGCACCTGCTCTTGATTATCGATCTCTTCAGGTACCACCCAACATTAGACAATCACCCCTACCATCACATATTATCACTTGATTTTCATACGAGTGTTGAAAAATGTTCAAATATTTTCAAAAAAATAATATATAAATATATATATATATATCTCAATGTGTATAATATTTGCAGAGTCAAAAAAAAAACGCTTTCGAAAAAAACAAATTACCTAGGTCACAGTAAATGAATATTTTTCGACTTACAAATTCAATGGCGAGTTCGACGAAATCCAGCAGATCTGAAAAAAAAGAATTTTTTAAAGAAAATTTTCAAAAATTAATTTTATTAAAATAAATATCAAAAATAATTTGTAAAAAAAGATGATTTACTTATAATAAACGTAAATGGATAAATTTTAATTATACATTCGCAATTGACCAGGAAATTAAAAATAAAAATCCCATTTGTTAAAACACTCGTTTATGAGTCACAAGGCAATAATTATTCTTTCTTTTAATTTTTTTTTTTTTTTTTTTAAACTTTCTCGATTTTAAAGTAACAATTAATTTATGCTAATTATTAAAGAGTGGCGAGAGCGCACGCGGCGAATCAAAATTTAATTTTTTAATATATATGAGTGCAATAATTTCTGATGGATCATATTTTTATATCAAAATGCATTCGATGATTGATCACCTGCAACTCCGTCATAATCAAGATTGCATCGATGATTCAAAAATGAGATTTCATCTTCACGCTACTCGTCAAATCTTTTATTCATTGATTATAGAATCCAAATAAATAAATGGGAGTTAAATTCAATTTCTATAAAAAAAAATAGCATTTAAAAAAAAATGGCAACATAAACCAAATATTTTTTTTCAATTAGCTGTTAAGGGGGGAACACCAGTTGTAACTCAAAAAATAATGCTTTTTTCAAGAATATTTTCCAAAAGAACAATGAATCTTTTTAAAGAATACTATTTATTAGTTAAAAGTACATGTAAAAAGCTGTAATTTAAAAGAAAAAAAAAATTTTTTTAACAAAAACTTTTGGAGATATGAGCCATTGAAGTGGCGTCTTAAGAAAAAAGGCGAATTGCGGTGACCAGCATTCTGCAAGTATACTTCGTCTGAAATACAAAAATGAAATTGATTTACATTTATTATAAGATTATCTAGTTCGTGATCGAAGGATTTAAAAAAAAAAAAAAATTTGACAAAATGGCGACCTGTCAAAGTCAAAAGTATGATTTTCGTTAAAAAAATACGGTCGATTTTCAGCTATATAAAAAAAAGTTTTGATTAAAAAAAAAAATCCTTCGATCACGAACTAGACTTATATGTGTAAATGAAGCACACTAAATTTTAAATAAATCGGTTTAATGGTATTCGAGTAATCGTGGTCACCGACTTGGAAAATGTCATTTTGAGAAAAACGCATTAAAAGTTTCAACTTACTTTTTTTTGTTCAGAAGAAATTTTGTTTCTAAGTTACAAAGAGTCATCGATTCCTGGACCATATAATAACTCTTCCGCAGTGGTTGCCGTTTCTAAATCATAGGAAAAGGCCATCTGTCGTTAGGGTCAGGTATGGCTGGCCACCTTGTATGAAGCCACGGGACGCGCCGCTGCAGTGTTCTGTATATCTCATTTATTTTTCACCGGATCAACTTTGAAATTTACAGACACATTTCTAAATATGTATACTTTAAGAAAATGCACCAAAAAAAAAATCGATATTTCGAAAGTTACAACTGGTGTTCCCCCCTTAAACTAACTATTTGGTTGAATCAACAAAATATTTAAAATTTGTTTAAATTACCCAAACATTTGGCTGAATTAATCAAATATTTTGTAGATGTGAGAAAAAAATTCAAAAAAAATTTTAAGATCTGTTGGATTCTAAAAGTAGGTAAAGTGAGAAAGAATAGAAAAAAAATATGAATTGGAGAAATGAAAAATGTCCGTAAACAAAAATGATCCGTCGGAGAATCTTAAACCGTCCAATATGCAAATATATATAAATATTTATATATATTTACAAATAGATACCAGTTACACGTGCGTGAAAAAAAATTAATAAAAATCACAGTAACTATTATTAATTATCTAAATTATTAAAATTGTAAAATTTATAAAAATTTTTGGTAATTATTCTTTTTTTATCCGTGTAAATTCAGAAAATTTTTCAACATTTTTTTTTTCCTAAATAATTAAAATACATTTCATACATGTAAATAAATATTGTTTAAACAATTTTTACATAAAAATCGAAGGAAAAAAAAAAAATTTATAATCAACATTTTTTTTTTTTCATGCACGTGTCACCAAATAGATATACGATTATAATTATAGACTAGAGTGCCTTTCGGTGTCAACACACATATACCTGAACTAATGTATTTAATACAATTTGTTATTATATTTATACTAGACGTATACAAAAAAAAAAAATGCAAGAGAGCAAATTTTACTCTATTCAAGATTTTACTTAGAAAAAAAAAATTATTTTTAATAATTAAAAAATAAAAGGAAAAAAAAATTCAAAATGATTAAATTTTTTTATGACAATGTTTTTTTTCCATTAATAGATTTTTGTATTATTTGTTTTTGAAAAATCTAAATTACTGAATGAGTCACTAATGAAAAATAAGTTTGTTTTCTATAATAACACAAATTGCACTTCATTTGTTTAACATAAATTGAAATGCATTATTGAATTAAATAAAATATTCATATCATCTATTCAAACAAATTGAAAAATTGAAATTTAATCGAATTGAAAAAAACATTTTTTTAATGGAATTTAAACAAAATTTAAATTTAATTAAATTTAAATTAAAGTTGAAATTCAATTAAACTTAAATTAAATAATTAATCGGATTCATTTTTATTGAAATTAAGTTAAATTTAATTAATTATTAATTAATTATTAATCACATTAAATAATTATATTTGTCATAAAAATTTTTAATAATGAATTTTTTCATCATTATTATTATTATTTAATTACAAAATATGAATTAAAAATCAATTTTTTAAAAATCATAAATTATATTTTCAAAAATTTGAACAAAAAAAAAATTATTCTATCTCTTGAATACCAAGAAAATATTGCCTTGCGTGCTTAATTACTATCATGTAAAATAAAGTACATGTATTAATTACATGTTATAGTCCATCGAAGCCAAAGCCGTCCGTGCTGAAAAGATTGTTCCAATGAACAAATAAAAAAAAAAAAATTAAAATAAAAATCCTAAATTCAAAATTGCGAAAAAAAATTAAACAATTTTATTAAAAAAAGAATTAATTTTTCCAAACTAAACGAAAAAGGTATTTGTGAATAAAAATATTTCCCCTCCCTCTAAATTAGAAAAAAAAATCATTTTTTAATTTTCTATAATTTCAATTAAGAATAATTTTATTTTATTGGTGCCAAAGAGGAGTTTCTTATGTCTATACGAACCGGGGCAAAATTGTATATTATTTTTGCGGTCTTGAAGACTCGTCAAGAGAATAATCAATAAATAGAAAAAACACGAGTTCGATTATTGTACAAAAAAAAATAAAAAATTTCTTTTAATTATTTTTAAATAAAAAAGTTTAATTAGAAATAGATTAAAATTTGAATTATTTACTTAAATATTTTGTTTATAAATATAGTAATCGAACTCCAGTTTTTCTAAAAAAAAATTGAAAAAATTCATTCTTATGTCAATTTTTATTTTTATAATATAATCCAAAATTATTTTTGGATAACAGCACTGATTGAATAATAATTTTCATGAGGATGCAAAAAAAAAAAAAACAAATTGTACAAATTTATAACAATTCACAATATACATAAAAAGAAAATTGAAAATTTCACGTTTTCCAGCACATGTAAAAAGTAAAAAATGCACCCCGATTTTTAAGGAGAAAAATTATTAATTACCAACTGCACTGTATTTTTTTGCACGCATTGCAATTGTGTTTGCGATCTAAATTCTAAGATTGACAAAGGGGAATAAATAAAAAAAAATGGGGGGGAAATTAAAAAAAAAAAACGACAGGGTGGATTTCATTGCAAAATTTCAACTGTCCGGCAAAAAATTCATATCGGCTAGAGGACCAAAGATAATTTAATAATGGCTCGCGATCAATCGGTAGGACCGGAATTTTTGTTCCAATGATATTTATTGAAAAAAAAATTATTTATAAATAAAATTTTAAAATTAAAAAATTTTTTTTTTAAAAAAAGTGAAAAAATTCAAGTTAAAAAAATTAAATTTTGCCAATTTTATATTATGTAAAATTTTTGTTGAATTCGTTATTATTGTTGTATTATAATTTTCGAAAAATAGTGTTTGTACAAAAATTCTCAAACCACCGAAGTCTCGAGCCAATTTCGTATGTGTGATTGTACGTACGCACGAAAAAAAAAAAAAAAAGATTGTATCATACCATTAGTGTAATTAGTCGTGTAAGTAACTTAATTAAGTAGGTAGTTTAAGCGAAAGGAGAGACATCAGTGCTTCATTGCGAATTTTGCGATTAATTTATAATGTACATCGACAGTGAATCGCGCCATTGAAAAATGGTTATTTTTTTTTTTTTTTTTTTAATCTAAAATTATAAATATAAATATATTATTCATTTTTATTGTACACCAAAGTGTTAATAACAATATCTAAATTGATTTGTAAGTTTCTTTTTTTTTTATCAAAATATATTTTGACAACATACATCACTTCCTCTGTATAAATTATTATTTTAGGAAAATGCGAGAAGCTCAAAAAAAAGAAAAAAAAAAAAAAACTGCGATAGGATATTTAGAAACGAAGAGCGTGAATGAGAAAGAAAGAAAGAAAAAATTTTGTTCGAACGAGAATGAATGATTATTGAATTTCTGCGATTTATCAATTTTCAAAATATGTTTATTAGAGATAGAAAAAATATTGAATAAAGCGATTGTTTTTTCTTATAAAAAAAAATAAAAAGTGTTTTCTATATTTTTCACCCAAACTGAAAAAAAAAATTTATTTGGTTCAAATACTCAATCACTGGACTGTGAAATAAATAAATTAATAATTAAATAAATTATCAAATAAATATTTATTTGTATCAAATAATTAATATGTAAAATGGTATTTGTTTCAAATACAAAAATTATTAAAATACAGTATATTTAATTCAAATAAAAATTATTTTCTTCAAGTAAATATTTATTTGATAATCGAGGTATTTGAATCAAATAAATTTTTTTTTTCATTGCACCTTTTTAATTTTGTCAATAATATTAAAAAAATAATTATAAGTAAAAATAAATAAATAAATATAACAAATAAAAAAAGGTTAAAAATTAATTCAGGTCAAATTAATAGGGTTAATTTTTGTAAATAAAAAATATATTTTACATTCAATTATTGTTTTAGTTAATTATTTCTGTATATAAAAATTATTATTAAAAATATCTAATGAAAATAATAATATTATTATTGCCACTAATTTAATTATATTTATTATTATTATTATTATTATTATTATTATTATTATCAAAAACGATGAAAGAAATTATTTAATTTTTTATTTTTTTTATTAAAATTCAAATATATATTATTGATAATTGGTAGGATTGAGAAGGCATCGTGGAGAACGATTAAAAAAAATGAATTTAATTGATATACATAGGGAATAAATGAAAGAAGCCTTATATAAAATCGATAAAAAATCAATCGAATCAATGGGCCCAGGGTCCAGTTTAAAACGCGTTTCGACGGTGTTGTCGTGCACATTGCATAGTAATTGGCCAATTTGCAATTCTCAAACGATGAGGAGCACCGATTCACAAAGATAAGGGCCTGACTACAAGCTGATCTCGTCGATTTCTATCAGAACTTATATATATACCAATTTATTTGATCGCCAGAATATAACTGCACGATATAAAGTTTTCTTTTTTTTTTTTTTTTTTTTTGCGAGTGAAAACATTATTAAATTTGACAAAAATGCTTTTTTTTTATATATAAGTATGAATTTTACATTTCAAAAAAAATAAAAATAAATTCTCTCTCTCTCTCTCTCTTAATTAAATTAATTTATGAATAATTATAAACGAGATATGAGAATCGCTGCTCATGATACACAACAGTTCACACATTTATTTTCATAATTATAATAATAAAATAAATGTGTAAATATAAGTTTAAAATTCCAATAAATCGATGAAAGTAAAAATGTAAACTTTTTTTTTTTTTAATTACATTTTTGTAATTACATAAATTAAAAAGAAAATATTTTCACGAACTCTAAAAATCGATGAAAATTTAATAAATCTAATAATAATAATAATTATTATAATAACAACTGAATTTTTCAAGATAAAATTAATTTAATTTTTTTCGATCCTTGAAAATGCAATTTCAAAAGAATATAATAATTAATTAAATGGTTCCATCAACAAATTTTTATTTTATTCACCAAAAAAAAAAAAAAATTAAAAAATACGCTTTTATCGTTATTACAAAAAAAAAGACATTAAACACGACGAAAATGTTTTATATTGACATTCGTTGTATTTTAAATGGGAAATTAAAATGTCTTAAAAAAAGGACATTTCAAAAGAATATATTGGCTGGATTATAAAAAAAATAGGATGAGATTTTATAATTTATGAAGTTATTAACAGGACTAAGTATCATGTTTTACGCCATTAAAATGAAAGTATTCGTATGTGTATAAAAAAAGAAAAGGAAAGAAAAAAATAAAATACAAAACGAAAAAAAAGTAAATTTCCGGTTTTACGCGCGTATAATAATAATCGTTAAGACTGATCGTTGAAGATTCAATCTCTTGTATATAGTATTGATCATTGATCTTATATATTGGTAACGGTATAAGTCATGTTCATTACGCGAAATTCGTTAGACGTCACTTCGATACCTTCAATATGATTCACTTTTGATCAGGTAAAACCTATAATTATCAGCTATAAGTTATAAACTGAGAGTGCGCTTGTAAAAAGTTATCGAATTTATTTATTTTCTTTCTTTTTTTTTTTGTTTTTTCTTCTCTGTCACATGAATGCTGATGAGAGAAGATTATTCAACCAATTTTTACTTCATTAAGAGAAAATATAATAATTTCTTCTTTTTTATTAAAAATTCACGGAAAAAAATTGCTTTGTTTCCACAGCGAAAGTTTTCGCTATTCCAGAGAAACTTATCGTTGTTCCAGAAGATTTTTTTCCGTGCAGGGTAAAAAAAAAATTGTGATAGAAATTTGAATTTTTTTTTTCATTAAAATTTTTTGATAAATAAATTTAAATATATTCGAAAAAACGTATTTTTTTCACAACTGATAAAAATAGATTTTTTTTTATTAAAATCAAAAAACATTCAACTAAATACAATAAAGACTATATAGTTAGGAAAATTAAAACTGATAAAAAAAAATGCGTCACTTATATTATATAAATGTAAGGCGTAATTTTTTTCTTTTTCATAAAATATAATTTTTTTTTTTTAGCGATATCGAGTTGAAGGAACATTTAGTCCAAATGAGCAATAAGTTTCTATCATAAAACCGGTGGTCATGCATCAGAGTATGACCTAATCAGTGAAACAAGGCATATTAGTAAAGAGAAAAAAAAAAAAATAAAAAAAACCAGTACCTATAGAAAAATTTACACTGCGCTCAAGGGAAATGGTCGGCGGCAAAGCGTTTCAATGGTTCCGCGAAAGAGGGATTCTTATATATATATATATATATATTAGTAATAATTAGCTGTCGTAAAAACCACTGGAAACCAGAGCAAGATCCGGTCGATATATGAAATGTTTCAAACATACAGTCAATATACGCGCAATTTACATAATTTTCTCAACCATATTAAATATGTCGAGATTATATTCCTTTTCTCATTATAAATTACACTGAAGATGATTTTAATTTTTTCTAAGAAAAAGAAAAAAATTACTTGAGAACAAAAAAGTAATTTTTTTACTGAAAAAAAATTTGTTTTAAATAAAAAAAAGTTTTTCGATAAACTTTGTATTTATTTTGAACCTAAAATTTATTTAATAATAAAAAAATAATAATTAATAATTAATAATTAATTATTATTATTATTATTATTATTATTATAAATAAATAAATAAAAACTTTTAATATTTTCATTATCGACTGATTGGAATTTATTATATCAGAAAATAAAAAAAGCGTGCGATTTACTTTTTTTCTACATTGTATTAATATGAGAAGTAAATTTGAACTGAAAATTACACATTTTATAGAAAATATGAGAAGGTTGTGAAGGTTTTACAGCGCAGATTAGACATGTTAAATATCATATATTTTCATATATATAATTTTCAAAAGCTCGTCCTTCTCTTTTCATTTAGATTATTATAAATTATGAAAACTGAGCATATATAATGAGATATATATATGCAGTTTCTATATATTGCTACTAACAATATACATATATATCAACCCCTGTACAATAGAAAATATCTCAACGAAAAATTGTAAGTCAATTTAAAATCCACCCTCACAATGAATTATAATTTTATAGACTATTTCTTATATATGTGAGGGGTTCGCCTTTTATATATATATATATATACTCGTAAATAAATATGCAAGAAATTCTTGGAAAATAGAAATTTTCAATCGAATTTCAAATATAAAGTATGTAGAGTATAAAATATATATAATATATAGCATAGTATTTTTTTATAATTAAAAATTAAATTTTTAAATATCTTAAAAATTATATAATAATTAATTAATTTAATTTCTTTTATCAATTTATTATCTTTTATTAAATTTTCCAAGTATATTGTAAATAAATAAAAATAAATATAATAATTTTCAATTAGTTAACATTTTTTTTTCAAACATATAGAAAAATGATAATATTTTTTTTTCTCGCAAATATATAAACCATAGGCCATAAGAAAGACATTTTATATTCTATAAAAAGTTTTTACGTACTTTTTTTTATTTCTTAAAATTATTATTATCTTTGAAAAGTCCTTGAGGGGGGGGGAGGGGGTGACTATACATAAAGAAATTAATATAAAATATAAAGTCCTAAACCAATATGAAACACTCTCCATATCAATAATATATTACGCGACTTTTAAATCAATATATAAAAAGAAGAAACGAGAAAAAAAAATTTCTTTTTTTTTTTTTTAAATAACTTTGAAATTTAATAAGGTCATATACTCTATATTTATATAGTATAAAATCCAAGTATATAAAAGAAGAATCACGAGAAAAAAATTCTTATCAAAATTATTGTTGAGAATTTATAATTAAGTAATTATTTACTTAATAATAATAATTAATTTTTTTTTTTTTATATAAAATTTGATTTCGCAATATAAACGAAATTGAAATTATAAATAAATTTCTATGGAACAATCAGTTGTTTGTTAATGTATAATACATGCCTTCGTTTATACTATGTAAATATACTATATGTAACCATTAGAATCAATACATAGAAGAGGAGATATTGGAAATAATTACAATTCTCTTTTTAATTTAATTTACAAATTGTAATGTACAAAATTTTATATTAAAATTATTAAATTGATTAAAAAAATATATTCTGTCCAAAATTTTAATCGTAAAAATTATAAAATTACAATTTTATCAAGGAGAAAGTTTTTAAATTCACAGATTTTAATGTTAAATATTATATTTTAATAATCCATAAACTACTGATCTGAATATAAATTATGTACATCTCAAATTATTTACTTAAAATTATCATTAAAATATCAAAAAAAAATTTATTTTGATTATTTACAATATTGTTATTAAAAATAAAACATTATATTCTGTTAATTGTTAAACAATCAATAGTTTTGTGTGAGAAAAAAATTGAAAATTAAAACAAGAAATTTTACAAATTAGACAAGAATCAAATTATCCACTAAAACTTCTTTCAAAGTTGATTACTTTAATGAAAAATTTAATTTTTTGTTATTAAATTTTATGTCTTAATTTACTTTTCCCTAAAATGTAAAAATCTTTAGTAAACACAGAAATATAATTTCTAATAAGTAATATTAATGTAAATTAATATAATAAAAATATTTTATAATTCGTCCTTTGAATTCCAATCTTCCTTAATCATATCGGCAGCTTTTTCTCCCACCATAAGCGATGGAGAATTTGTATTTCCACTTGGAACTTTTGGCATAATTGAGGCATCAACAATTCTTAGATTTTTAACTCCATAAACTTTGAGTCTTGGATCAACAACAGCTTCTGGATCATCAGTGGGACCCATTTTTGTTGTTCCCACAGGATGATAGAGTGTTGTACCAGTATGTTGAAAATTACATTTCCAATATTCTTCAGAATCAGGTTTTGTATGACCACATCCAGGAATATTTAAATTCACCAATTTCATTCCAATTTCTTGAAAAGCTTTTGTCTTCAAAAATGAACGCAAATATTCAACAGATTTAATCATCGTTTCCATATCATACGGATGATTTAATTGATTAGAAATTATTCTCAATCCATCATTTGGATTTGAACTACGTAATTTAAGTTCACCTAAACTCTTTGGATTTAATAGAGTTGTTATTACAAAAATCAAATCACCTTCTTGTATTAATTTTCTCATTTCATCACCAACTTCAGATGACATGTGCAATCCATTAATTATAGGTTCCAATTGAATTAATTGTCCTTTTGCCACATGAAAATGATGAAATTGAATATCTGGATATTTTGCATATTTATCATGTACATTCGCAAAACCCATAAAGTGTGCTCCACCCGTTGCTGCTAAATCACCTACAAATTTTAATGAATACAATAGTTTTTAAAAATTTTTTTCCTAAAAGAAATATTTTTTTATGCCTACTCACCGCTTCTGTGAATTAAAAATTTATAAAGCTCATCTAAAATATATGTAGGTTTAACTGGAGGTGCTGTTTTATTATTAAAAGTCAAAATAACACCATAACTCATTGTATGATCTTCCAAATGTTGTCCCACTGGTAAATTGATAACATTTTTAATTCCCATTTCTTTAAGATGTTCACTGGGACCAATACCAGAGAGCATTAATATTTGTGGACTGGCAATACTACCAGCTGATAAAATTACTTCCTTAGAGGCTTTAGCTTCAAAAATTTGACCATTCTTTAATTTTAATTGTACACCAATTGCCCTATTTCCTGACATAATGACTTTTTCTCCTTTTGTCGATTTCATGACATATAAATTTTTCCTATCCTTTGCTGCTGAGAGAAAAGCTTGTCCCACACTGTATCGCAGTCCATTGTCAATGGTAGCGTCAGAATTTCCATAACCTATTTGAGATTCTCCATTAAATGTCTCCAAAATTGGAATTCCCAATTCGCGAGCAGCCTAGAATTTTTGATATTTTACTCACTAAATTTTTATCATTAAATTGTTGATTCTTTTATTCAGATGCAATTAGATAAAGTTACATATGCAATTCATACCTCCGTGAATATTTCAGGAAATGAAGAAGTTGTATAATTGTATTTCCGAATACGTAAAAGACCACCGGTACCAAAATACTTATTACCATTTTTAGCAATAAATTCCGGTGTATAATCTTCAGATTTTTTGAAATAAGGCAAAACCTCTTCATAGCTCCAACCTGTATTTCCCATTTCTGACCATTGATTATAATCCCTCTGATTACCACGAATATATAACATTGCATTTATCGCAGAACTTCCACCTAGTGCCCTACCTTTTGCCCAATAACAACTTTTATCTTGTTGTCCACGACAATAATCATTACTTGATTCTGTTTTATAACCATGATCTTCCTCGGTTTTAAATAGAGAAAAGAAAAATGCTGGAATTCGACTAACAGCTGATGGATTTTTACCTTCTTCAACTAAAAGTACTTTCCAATTTTTATTCTCTGACAATCGACTAGCTAGGGCAGAACCTGCTGTTCCTGCTCCAACTACTATAAAATCAAAATTCAAATTTTCCGAAACAATTTCCGATGTTCTGTCAGGTGGATATAAATTGTCGGTATTTAGAGCGCATTGTGCTGTCAACAGAGTTTGCATTAGATGTGTAAAAAGTAAACTTGCTGTTCCACCTCCAGTTACACCACAACTCATCTGTGCTAAACAGTTTTCCATTTTTGACTTCTGAAAACGAAGGGAAAAATTATCTTTTTGTAAAATAAATTTTGAAAACAGATTTTAATCTCCAAACAGAGTTATGAAATACGATTTTAATTGAAAATGTGTAAAATTAGTAATTGACTAATGTTTATCCAATCAAGCATTTGTTGTTGAATTCCCTTATGTCTGTCTTGTTCTTACTCTAAATCTCCAAAAAATTATATATTAATTTTTAATTTTCTGCTGTTATTAATTTACTGATTAATTAATCCTTTTTTACAAATTCCAAAAGAGTTATGTAACTATTAATAATAAAATATCTAATGTAGATGTAATAGCAATAAAAAATTTATCTTCTATTAAAATTTCTATCCATATTTCTTTTTTAGGCCTTGCTTTATAAAAAATTTATCAGCTTCATTTACACTGCAATCGTGTTTACTTATGAGAAATATTAATAGAATTTCAATAATAATTAATTAAACAGTTGCATATATATTTTTAATTTATCTCTCGGTGATAAAACAAAAAAAAAAGGTTATCAATTTCAGCGAGTAATGTGTCATCAATATTGTAATGTTTTGAAAATTAATGATACTGTCTTTATAAATAAATGTAAAATTAATGTATTCATTACAATTTACACTAAATGATCTTCATTCTAATATGACATATTCAACAAAATTTATCTTATAAGTGAGTCAAACTAGTATGTTAATTATCATACATTGTATGAATTGTTTGTTTATTTAAATTATCATATTTAATGTTAAAATTATTCATTGTGACATTTTTAAATTGTATTCAATTTGTTACATAATAAGATGAGATTAATACAAAGTGCAATGAAAAAAAAATTTATTTAATTCACATAATCGATTATTTGACTATTATCAAATAAATATTTACTTGAAGAAAATAATTTTTATTTGAATTAAATAAACTGTATTTGAAACAATAATTTCTGTATTTGAAACAAATACAATCTCAAATAAAAATTATTTGGTAAATATTTATTTGATAACAGTCAAGTAGATTATTTGAATCAAATAAATTTTTTTTTCAATGTATATACTACGATAAACTGACAATAATATTTTGTCCAGACAAGCCAAATACACTGAAAAAAGGTTTTGGTTTTGACAACCAAACTTTTGGTTGGTATTTAACCAACCAAAATTTTTTTGTTGAATCAACAAAATTTTAATTGTCTCAATCAAAATTTGACACAACCAAAATTAGAAAAAAATGATTTTTGTTGTCCCAACTAAAGTTTGATTGGGACAACCAAAATTTTGTTGATTCAACAAAAAGATTTTGGTTGCTTAAATACCAACCAAATGTTTGGTTATTAATACCAAACCTTTTTTTCAGTATAAGAATTAAGTTAAACAATAATAATAATAATAAAAAGATTAGGTTAAATAAAAAAATATGATAAGATAAGATTGTAACAAATAAGAATTAGAACAGGTAAATATTCGACCAAATAAAAATTATTTCAAATCTATATGAATCCGTATAAAAATTAGGCTAAATAAGACTTAGATTACAGAAAAATTAAGCCAAAAAAATCAGATTAATTAAATATTATGCCAAATAAGAATTAGGTACAATAAAAATTACAGATTTTAAAAGATTAAAATTAAGTAAAATTAAAAATAAAATTACAACAGGATTAGATTAAGCGAAATAAAATTTTTGTTAAATACAGATTGGATCAATTGAGAATTAGGCCAAATAAGAATTGTCCAATTTTTTTACTAATATAACAAAATCAAAGAAATTAAAATTTTTTTTCTTTTTCACAAAAATTACGTTTATACTTTTCTGTAGCTGAACTAAAAGACTTGATTGCTTTTTAATTAACCACTTTTAGAAAACAAATTCGATCACATTGGATTCTTCACTGAAATGCACGAGAATATTGAAAAGATAACATTAATCAAACAACTTTTGATCTGATTTGATAAAAGATTTTACTCGCTTGTCAAATGTCTTATTATAACTCTTCACGCAAAGACAGACAGCCAAGAACTGAGATTATCAGTAGTGAAAACCAGTCTTGTTATTTACTTTCTACTTCATATGTGCGAATTCACTTATAGACATACAATCAAGAGATTCAAAGTTATAAAATTTGCATAAAGCATTTATTGAATTTGCTCATTTGCGCAATGATACTTGCAAATTAGAAAAATTTAGATTGCAAATCAGCGAGACTATAAAAGAGCTAAAGAATGACACCAACAGTTTTGATTGATGACAAATGGTGACAGAAAAAAAAAATCTTCTTACTTTGAATACTGATTTGTAAAATAAAAAATAATCAAATCACTTGATTGTAAGGATTTTTTGATTTTAATTAGTTTTTTTTTTTTTTTTTTTTTGAAAAATTGTAATCAATGAATAGATAATGAGTATATTGAGAGAATATACCCACGTGCCTTCTGCTACGGATAAAAAAAATTGATGCACCAAAATGATCAGTATCAAAGGTAAAAATCCAATTCGTAAATTACTCGGCAAAATAGTGGATTATATATATTGTGATGAATTAATCAATATTGCATAATTGAAAAATCTTTGATATATCAACTTCGATGAACTGTATATTGATGATTGGGCTGTTTTTCTGTTAATTAATCATCAACTCGTGCCCTTGTATTCATGACTTTGACAGTGACCGCTTTTAATAATTGAAACATTAAAACTATTTTTTTTTACATACATCAAATATTAAAACTATTTTTTTAAATTTATGAACGTCAAAATTTTGAAAAAAAATATAATTTTTAATTCTAAGAAAAATTAAAGCAGAAACATGGTTTTCTGTAAGTAAAAAAAAAGGAACATATATTCAAAAACGAAATACATTTTCCTTCATTTTTTATTATACAAGTCTTGTGGCTTGAATCTTGAATGTATAAATGAATCCATATATGAAGTAGAAAGTAAATAACAGACTGCTTTCACGGATAATATCAGTCCTTGGATGTCTGTCACTGGGTGAAGAGTTCGAGTTATAAAAAGATTTTTGACAAATCTTATCACAAAAGACAAGATATTTAACACTAAACGTTATCTTTCAAACTTTTTGTGTATTTTAAAATATTAGTGCGAAAAATCAATGTGATATAATTATATATAATTACTGCTTCCTTAGAAAGTAAATTACAAAAAGTGTTTCAGCAAAAGTTAAACTAAAAACGTAATTGTATAATTAATTTATGAATTCTGTTAATTTTTTTCATAAGTAGATGCGATTGCAAATGTGTAAATATAAAGCTAATGAATTTTTTATAAAGCAAGGCCTAAAAAAGAAATATGGATAGAAATTTTAATAGAAGATAAATTTTTTATTGCTATTACATCTACATTAGATATTTTAATATTAATAGTTACATTACACTTTTGCAATTTGTAGAAAAGGATTAATTAATCAGTAAATTAATAACAGCAGAAAATTAAAAGATTAATATATAATTTTTTGGAGATTTAGAGTAAGAACAAGACAAACATAAGGGAATTCAACAACAAATGCTTGATTGGAAAACATTTGTCAATTACTAATTTTACATATTTTCAATTAAAATCGCATTTCATAACTCTGGAGATTAAAATCTGTTTTCAAAATTTATTTTACAAAAAGATAATTTTTCCCTTCGTTTTCAGAAGTCAAAAATGGAAAACTGTTTAGCACAGATGAGTTGTGGTATAACTGGTGGTGGAACAGCAAGTTTACTTTTTACACATCTAATGCAAACTCTACTGACAGCACAATGCGCTCTAAATACCGACAATTTATATCCACCCGACAGAACATCGGAAATTGTTTCGGAAAATTTAAATTTTGATTTTATAATAGTCGGAGCAGGAACAGCAGGTTCTGCCCTAGCTAGTCGATTGTCAGAGAATAAAAATTGGAAAATACTTTTAGTTGAAGAAGGTAAAAATCCATCAGCTGTTAGCCAAATTCCAGCATTTATATTTACTCTATTTAAAACCGAGGAGGATTATGGTTATAAAACAGAACCAAGTGATAAATATTGTCTTGGAGAAATAGACAAAAGTTGTTATTGGGCAAAAGGCAGGGCTCTAGGTGGCAGTTCAGCGATAAATGCAATGCTGTATATGCGTGGTAATCAAAGGGATTATAATCAGTGGTCAGAAATGGGAAATACAGGTTGGAGCTATGAAGAGGTTTTGCCTTATTTCAAAAAATCTGAGGATTATACACCGGAATTTATCGCTAAAAATGGTAATAAGTATTTTGGTACCAATGGTCCATTACGGATTAGAAAATACAATTACACAACTTCTTCTTTTCCTGATGTGTTCACGAAGGTATGTTTCTCACGTAACATTCAATAATTTGTTGATTTCAATTTCAATTTCAATTCTAGGCTGCTTGCGAGATGGGAATTCCAATTTTGGAGACTTTTAATGGAGAGAAACAAATGGGTTATGGAAATGCTGATGCTAACGTTGACAATGGACAGAGATACAGTGTGGGACAAGCTTTTCTCTCAGCAGCAAAGGATAGGAAAAATTTATATGTCATGAAATCGACAAAAGGAGAAAAAATCATTATGTCAGGAAATAGGGCAATTGGTGTACAATTAAAATTAAAGAATGGTAAAATTTTCGAAGCTAAAGCATCTAAGGAAGTAATTTTATCAGCTGGTAGTATTTCCAGTCCACAAATATTAATGCTCTCTGGAATTGGTCCCAGTGAACATCTTAAAGAAATGGGAATTAAAAATATTGTCAATTTACCAGTGGGACAAAATTTACAGGATCATACAGCGACCTATGGAGTTTTATTGAGTTTCACTAATAAAACAGCACCTCCAGTTAAATCTACATATATTTTAGATGAACTGCACAAATATTTAATTCACAAAAGTGGTGAGTAGATACAAAAACTTATTTTTAATCCTAAAAATTAAATTTCTAATTAGTTGCATAATTTTTTATAATAGGCGATTTAGCAGCAGTGGGTGGAATAAATTTTATGGGATTCGTGAATGTTCATGACAAATTGGCAAATTATCCAGACATTCAATATCATCATTTTCATTTGCCAAAAGGACTATTTATCCATTTAGAATCTGTCATTAAAGCACTTCACATGTCAACTGAAATTGGTAATGAATTAAGAAAATTGCTACTAGCTGATGATCTTGTTTTTGTTTTGCCAACTCTTTTACATCCCAAGAGTTTGGGAGAAATTAAATTACGCAGTTCAAATCCAAATGATGTGGTGAAAATCATTTCTAATCAATTAACTCATCCTCGTGACATGGAGACGATGATTAAGTCTATTAAATTTTTCCGTTCATTTTTAAAAACGAAAGCCTTTCGAGAAATAGGAATGAAATTGGTGAATTTTAATATTCCTGGATGTAGACATACAAAACCTGATTCAGAAGAATATTGGAAATGTAATTTTCAACATACAGGTACTACACTCTTTCATCCTGTAGGAACGGCAAAAATGGGTCCTATTAATGATCCGGAAGCTGTTGTCGATCCAAGACTAAGGGTTTATGAAGTTGAAAATCTAAGGGTCGTTGATGCGTCAATTATGCCAAAAATTCCCAGCGGAAATACAAATTCTCCTACGCTTATGATAGCAGAGAAAGCTGCCGATATGATTAAGGAAGATTGGAACTCAAAGAACGAATTATGAATTTCTGTAAATTATTGGAAAACTTGAGACATGAAAAATTAAGACTAACATTTTTTCTTTTTGTTTTCAGAAACCGGATGAAATTCTAAAAAAAATGTCACCTATTTTCTGCTAAATATATTTAAGAGTAATGTTCTCAATTTGTAAATTTAATTAACGTTTTGTTTAATAATCTTTGGTTTGCTTTAATTGTTTATACTTCTAAAATAAATATTTAAAAATAACTATTTTTGGTGTTAAATAAAAGTTATTTAAAGTTTAGACTTAAAAATAGAGCAAATGTAAAAATACTTTATAAGACTTGATGAAAGTGAATGGACTTATGAACCTAATTGTACTAGATAAAGGAAATAGTAGAAATATGCATTTTAGTGTCAAATGTCAAACGTGATAAGCAACAAGTTTAAAAAAAAAAAAATTCAAACAGTTCTGACATAAGAATTAATGAATTGCATATACAATGAAGTTTCAAAGTCATTATAACAGAATTGATACGTTTTACTTTGTATAGATATAAATAAAAATCAGTGACTGATATTAATATTAAGTATCAGCTATTTTAAGTGAAAAAAAATTTCTCTGATTAGAAAATCAATTATATAATTAATGAAATCATTCTCATTCTTTAAACTAATTTCATTAACGAAAACAAATCCAAAGATTTGGAAAAATTGAGAAATCTCTATAAGTTTTACAAGAGGACCATTTTTTTTATAACAAAAATGATTTTACTCTAAAGAACAGAGATGATACAAATTTAATTGAACGTTGTGTCATGGTATAATAAATCGACCCCGAATCGACCTTATCTCAGAGAAAAAAAAAGAGAGAGATTACCAGCAGGTAGTTTTGAATGACAGTAATAATTTTCTGAAGTGTTTGCGGTTACGCGTGTCAAGTATTTCCTTTTCCACGAATCGACCACATCCTTGGGACAATGTTAAAAAAAATGCCACCAGCTGACGGGTGAATACATAAAAAAAATCTATCATTAAGACGAAAATGATTATAAAAAGGCTATTTACTCTTTTTTCCAAGTTTCTATATATATTTCGTTTATGTATATATATATATATATGTTTCCAGAAGAAACAGGATGTCAGGTGGTCTTTTCAAATTTCAATGGGTTTATACAGTTTCCACCAATCATTTTCTGGATTCTCATTCTTTTGCTTCGCTTCTCTCTCAGCATCAGAAAAATCTTTAATGAAATTCAACCTTCAGATATATACGCTTACTTTTTTCTCACAACAAATATATATAATTTCTTTTTTATTCCCCAACAATAGAGGAGACAAACAATTTTTGTTAAACGTATTTTCAAGTTTTAATAATCTGATATAAAAAGGATAAAATTAAATGTTCAAGGATATTTTTTCTTATATTGAAAAAAAGAAAAAAATTCGATCAATTTTGAATTACTCGTATATACGTAGAACATTCTTTTTTTTTAATACAAGTTGTTAGATTTAATTAATAGGTACTGACAGCTGGAATGTAAAATAGTTTCTGCCTTTCTGAAGACAAAAACATTCGAAACTAAATCGACCCTATAGGAAACATTCGAAGGAATAAATTATCTGCTCCAATCCGAGACGCGCGTGCAAAATCCACCCCGCATTAAATATGTATGTACAATGATGCAGATAAGACGCACCTGTAGTACATACGGGCACATATAAGCCACTTCTAAAAAGAAGAAAAAAAACGACTGCAAGTGCGAATGGAGGGAAGAGAAAACTACACACGAATAAGAAAAAGAGATAAGGTTGAATAAATGCGAAAGAGAAGGAACTTTAATTTTGAAAATGTTTCCGTTAATGATAAACCCCATTATTTTTAAAAAAGAGTAACCTATCCGAATCAATGAAAAAATCAAATAATATTTCAAACAAAATGCCTAATTGATAGAAATCTACAAAATCATTTAAATTCAGAAAGTGAATTTTGCAAAAAAGAAAAGAAATCCTATTTTATATTCACCTCGAGTATACGTTAAAGTGTGATCGTAATTGGGATATTTTGAAGCTGTGATAATGATAATGAGGCAACACGATGGCAGTATATATGTATAAGTTTTCGCGATTCTTTACGCGGCAGTAAAACCCAATTTGCAGCTTCGCGGAAGAGATTGGAAATCAATGCCCCCGTTTATTATACACGCACCGCGCGCGTGTTATAAGAAGAGCGACTACTTCCCTGCTACTTTTGCTTCGACCGGTTCATGGTATCCTGTAATCCGTATAATCGAACGTTCTTTCAGCGAAATTCGCGATTTTTCATCATATACTCGCAGCGAGTATAGAAGGCGCAACTTTGCCATTCTCAATTTTATGGACTTCAAGTGGTGTGCCATTCATATTATATTTTCCTATATATACCTATACGTATATACGCTTCTCCTCATGCCATGTACAATATATATTTCCTCGAACTACGAGCGGTGAAGGTGCCGATTAGAGAATATTTACCATCCCGATGTTTCCAGTTCTTCAATATACTTCCCTAAACCACTTTACTTGATCGGTTATTTATATATGTATATCCGCGCGGCTTGCATATATCTCAACATTTTCTCATTAAACTACTTCACTTTAAAATCAATCACCTTGTTTTATTAATACCGCTTCCATCTAAACTTATTTTCACAATTTTTTTTTGCATCAGACTTCATTTTTTTTCGTTTGCATGCAGGGAAGTAAAGATCGAACACAGCAAATTATTTACAATGATATAAGAGAAATAGGAACCTTCACAATTAATTATTATTCGGTTTGATGAACAAAGGGAAGATAGAAGCTAATTTTGATTCGATTTAATGATTTAATAAACCTAATTTTTATTTGGTTTTGGTAAACAAAAAGAAGGTAGAACCTAATTTTGATTCAGTTTGATGAACAGAAAGAAGGTAGAACATATTTTTGATTCAATTAGATAAACAAAAAAAAGATAGAACTTATTTTGGATTCATTTTGGTAAACAGAAAGAAGGTAGAACCTATTCTATATTTGGTTTTGATAAACAGAAAGACGGTAGAACCTAATTTTGATTCAGTTTGATTAGCAGAAAGAAGGTAAAACCTTTTTTTGATTCAGTTTGATGAGCAGAAAGAAGGTAAAACCTATTTTTTATTTCGTTTTGATTAGCAGAAAGAAGGTAAAACCTTTTTTTGATTCAGTTTGATTAGCAGAAAGAAGGTAAAACCTATTTTTTATTTGGTTTTGATAAACAGAAAGAAGGTAGAACATATTTTTAATTCAATTAGATAAACAAAAAAAAGGTAGAACCTATTCTTTATTTGGTTTTGATAAACAGAAAGACGGTAGAACCTAATTTTGATTCAGTTTGATGAACAGAAAGAAGGTAGAACTTAAGTTTGATTCGCTTTGGTAAACAGAAAGAAGGTAAAACCTATTTTTGATTCATTTTGTCAAACAGAAAGAAGGTAAAACCTATTTTTGATTCATTTTGTCAAACAGAAAAAAGGTAGTACCTAATTTTTATTTGGTTTTCATAAACAGAAAGAAGGTAGAACTTAAGTTTGATTCGCTTTGGTAAACAGAAAGAAGGTAAAACCTATTTTTGATTCATTTTGTCAAACAGAAAAAAGATAGTACCTAATTTTTATTTGGTTTTTATAAACAGAAAAAAGGTAGAACCTAATTTTAATTCGGTTTCTGTAAACGAAACGATAGCAGAAAGTAATTTTAATTAACATTGATAATCAGAAAATAGATAGAACCTAATTTTGATTCCATTTTGTAAAAAGAAAGAAGGTTGAATATAATTTTGATTCATTTTGGTGAACAGAGAAAAAGGTTCATTAAAAAACCCTATTTCCGCAAATACATAATTAAACTCGTACCTATTAATTAATTTCTACATTTGTTAATTCTGTCCAGCATCATTTAAAAATCATAACGTGCTATCAAATTTCGCACATATGCACTGTGTCATAAATACTTAAAAATTCGATTAAGAAGAAAAAATATGGGGCATTGATTTTAAAATGATCGTTACAAATTGCTAAGTGTGAATAGCTATTAGAGCGCATGTAATCAAGTTGGAAAATATTGATGTATCATATGGTAAAATGAAAATGAATTTTAAGTACATAGCTTATATATACAAGGTGATTACGTGTATATGGATATATCGTGTAATCATAAACCATAAAAATATCTCTAGCAGTTGGTGTAATTTAGTATATATATAGTCTGCGCGGGCAATAAGGCGCTGAGATTAATTGATTTCATCGTAAGGTTTTTTGCAATTATTTCTTTTCTCTTTTTTTTTTGAAGAACCTATATACAAAATAAGCAAACATTACACGCGCCTCTCATCGTAAATGCACTTCTCATTCCAAACGTCTGGATCGAGCGCTTAATTAGTAAGTAATCAGTGTTGCTCGGTTAGTAATTATCCTCGCTTCATCATTAACACTGCAATGAGCATATAATACTTTAAAATATCGTTTACCATAGGACCACTATTATAAACTTCAAGCAACTAAATTTACGACACATAAATTCTATTTATATAAATCAAACACCTATATGACATTCATATTTTCGAATATTTAATTTAGAACCCAAATTCTTTAATTTCCAAACTGTTTTTTAAAAACAAATACATATTTTCATATAATTTTTCAAAATTAACTACCTTTTTTTAATGTGTATTATTATTAGGCATTAATTACTATAAAAAAAAGATTTATGCACTGGGTACAATTCATATTTCATCGAGAGTGGTTTTTTGCAGCTTGCTTTCGTCATTTTGTATTTGGTACGGAAGAAGCGCGCGCACGTTTTTGAGAACGTGACATCTGCATGTTAATTGCATTAATTGCATAAATTCACAGGACATCGAATGCAATAAGGGAAGAGGGAGAGAAGAAGAAGAAGAAGAAAAAAGCAGCATATAGGGATGTGTACAGGAAGGTAATATTTATAATTGAAGGGCGCAGTATGTTTGTGTGTGTGCGCGGTCATCTTATATAAGCACCTGTCGTACTGCAATCTCAAAAAGATTCTCAGATGCTGCCCTCTGATTTCGAGCATGTAAAAAAAATTACATTGCCCAAATTTAAACGCGCATATATATACACGCACATGCCCTTGTATACAAATGTATTGGTTATTGCAGTAACCCTTCTTTATAACCATTTTTCGTATACGCTTGATATAAATCTCGATAACAAGCCTAATTTATATATCAATGA